TAAAGTTGACATTTGAAACAGCAAAGCATAATTGACATGTAAATGTGTTCGTCCATCAGGCTACAGTTGGTCTGATCCGTAACCTGGCTCTGTGCCCTGCAAACCACGCTCCTCTGAGGGAGCAGGGGGCCATCCCCAGACTGGTTCAGCTGCTGGTCAGAGCACACCAAGACACACAGAGACGCACCAGCATGGGAGGCACGCAGCAGCAGTTTGTGGTGAGAGCAGACACACACACTTTAAGACAGCAAAGCACGAGTAAAGTTCAATGCAGCTCCATGCCATCTTCAAAAAGATGACGACCTGAGATCAACAATAGTTCCTACCACTGCCTGCTCATCGTAAGAGTTGTAAAGTGCTCCCTATAGTTTAAACTCAACTAGTGTTATTGTCATTAGGAGGGAGTTCGTATGGAGGAGATTGTGGAGGGCTGCACAGGAGCACTTCACATTCTGGCCAGAGACGTCCACAACAGAATAGTCATCAGGGGACTCAACACCATTCCACTGTTTGTACAGGTAAAAACAAAAGTTGTTGTGGTTTTGTCATGTTGCAATCATACCAGCACCCCATTAATGTAAATCTAAAGTGTGCTACAGATTCCAGGGATTTTACACTTTCTTATTGAATGGTATCAGGTGTCATTTTGAAGTCATTGAGGTAGTTTTGTTGTGCGCCCCATGAATCTCTGCTTTGTGTGAGTACCGTGAATGCTGAGATTGTTTCTAAGCTATCCTCTCTGTGTGTGCAGCTGCTGTATTCTCCCATTGAGAACATCCAGCGTGTAGCAGCAGGCGTCCTGTGTGAGCTGGCCCAGGATAAAGAGGCTGCCGAGGCCATCGAGGCTGAGGGAGCCACCGCCCCACTCACAGAGCTACTGCACAGCCGCAACGAAGGAGTTGGTATGTTCAGAAAACACTGATCTGCATACATCCATCATTCACATGGAGGCTACTCTTTAGCTACGCAGATGTTCAGAATAGCTTACGATTGCAAAAAACAAGCTAAATTGGTTTTTGAATGTTTTCCATGGACTTAATTGACGTAGACCGGTGAGGCAATGTTGGAACAGTAATAATGGCAATACCTGGTCTTCTGTCAGCTGTAGCATTTATTTATTTGTTGTAACTTTGTTTTTGGGACTGACCTGTCAACTCTCCCATCTTCCCCCAGCCACCTACGCTGCAGCAGTTTTGTTCCGTATGTCTGAGGACAAACCCCAGGACTACAAGAAACGCCTCTCTGTGGAACTCACCAGCTCGCTCTTCAGGACGGAACCAATGGCCTGGAACGAGGTATGAAGCACTCAAAATCTGTTTTATTCTTCAGTTGTTTCAGTATATTTTGTATTCAAAACAACTGCTGCCAATCTGCTTTATCCATGTCTGTCTATGTATTGCTCTGCAGACCGGAGACCTGGGTTTGGACATTGGCGCTCAGGGAGAGCCTCTGGGATACAGACAGGAAGGTACGTCACCTCCTCATCTCAGGCTGGCTTGGGAGGCTCCCAGGAGAAACATGGGAATGGGGGTATCGGTGTCACAACAAATACCAGAGCAGTTTGGCTGCAACACTTTTTTTTTAAACTGACAGTTGATACACAATTAAATATTGTTACATTCCCAATGACTGAGTGCCATCTGTCCATCGTCATTACTAGTGATGACAGGATTGGCTGTTGTGCTGCACGGGCAACTTGAGACAGTGGGGGAGGGCAATAATGCTTTCAAGTTTAAGCGTGGAGATTGATTTTTATCCCAGTTGTCAGTCAGGACAACACAGTTGGCTCTTAACAAAAATACAGCTGCTTTCAGTTAATGTTGCAGTTGGCAACTCAAATGTTACAGGTGTACCAAACCTTGCACTGGGTACTGGTCAGTAGGCCAAGGTTAGAGGGTTTGCTGTTTGTTTAATTTGCACAGCTCTCCATTCCTCCTGCAACGGCTTTAATTGGCTCTTGGCCAGCCAAATGAAAACAAGACGTGAAGTTGTTTGACGTATCAGAACACCTCTGTTGGTGGGACTAAACTAAATGCAGTGAACTCAGCTGGATTTATTTCAGTCCTTAACAGCTGTAGTTTGAACAGAGTTCAGACTGCCGGAGCATCGACGGTGTGCTGTGTTGCTGTGTAGTGTTAAGTTTGAATGATCATACTACTGTGTGACTGCTTGGTTTGTTAACATGCTTCTAACAACTGCTCTGCTTCCCCTGCCTTTCCTCCGTCGACTCCTCCCTCCCCCAGACCCAAGCTACCGTTCCTTCCATTCGGGGGGCTACGGAGGGGACTCTATGGGCATGGAGCCCATGATGGACCATGATCTGGGTGGGGGCCACCACCCTGGCCAGGACTACCCCCCTGTAGAGGGGCTGCCTGACCTTGGACATGCCCAGGAACTGATAGAGGGCCTGCCACCTGGTGACTCCAACCAACTGGCCTGGTTTGATACCGACCTGTAAATACCAAGCGAAATTACACTACACTTTCTACTAGGTAAGAATATCTTCACTCTCAGTAGCCTTGTTAGCTGACGTGAACAAGGGCCATTTTCTGGGTAAGATGTAAATGGAAGCACAGTGGGGAGGATTTTTGTCCTGAGGGAGGAGAGGCGAGTGGAATTCCTCACTGTGGCTGCCGCATGTTCAGACTGCTCCTAATTGCAAAGCTGTGTGATGTTTCATGATGTTTGTTCTGTGTGTGGTCTTGACAAACGCCTGTGCCCTGTCTCCTTCCTCCCTCCTTGTGTTTTTCCCCTCATTCCTAATATTCTTTTTTTCCCACTCTCCTCCCTTTGTAGCTGTATCATGTGATCTGGATGAACCTGCATCGTGATTCGCCCATATGGAGGAGGCGGGGTTTCAGAAAGTGCCTGAAGACGACTCAACAACAGCAAGCAGAGTTTCCTGTCTATGGGAACTCCATTGGGACAAACTAGATTGAAGTGCGGTTCTGTTCTCTCAGCCTGACGGAAGGCGGACTTTAAATCCTGACATGACAGATGGATTTTGATCTCAAGTTGAACCCTTTTTATGTATTTTGTTTTTCATTTTTACTTATTTTGGTTTTACTTTTTTATTCTGTTTTCCTCAGATCTGTAATGGTACAAACTGGCTCTAGCTTGCTTTTTTCATTATTCTGAATTATGATACTCATCTCTTGTTTTTGCAGTCCCTTGTATTTTAAGTCTCTGGTAGTGTTGAGTTTTTTAGTGGTAATGCTCCATCCAAGTAAAGAATCTGATCACATTTTAAATGGTGTCCAAACACTAAAGTTAATCAGTTGAATTGTATTCTGATGATCAAGTGTAACATTGTGTAGCTTTTGTATAAAAAAAAAAAAAAACATGAATTGGAAATCATGGTCCAAATATCAAGCTATTTTCTTGCTTTAAAGGTGGACACTGATGTGTCTCTGCTGTTCCAAAGGGGGTGTAGCTGACCTAGCTGGATGGGTGTGGCTGTGGAAAGACTAGGGTGGAGGACTCTTATTGGTCTGCTGTTACTACGGGGTGGGGTAGTGGGAGGAGCTGGTTGCTGTAGCCTGCTGTGTTCTGAAACAATAAAATGGACTGTCATTTCACCAGGACGACTCCAGTCTCATTTCACCAACACCTTTAATCCAGGAGGACCCAAGTTACAGAAAGATGGCACATTTGTGGTAAAGATTTTGACAAAGCAAAGACATGAGATACTGTACAAATACAACTGATTACATCTGGGTTCTAACTGATTGCATGTGTAATCAAGACGAAGCCAAATGAGTGGACTGGTCATGTAGCTGTATCGCAACTAAAAAGCAACAGGTATTGGATTAGCAACCAGTCACCTAAATTACACTCGGTGAAGGCATGTTTCTCACTGAAACTCCACTTCTCTGCCATAAGAAGGTGGAATGAGGTCATCCGTGGGTTTGCAGACCAGTTTTCAGAGAGCAAAGGTAGCAGAGGTGTTCATGTGTCTTACACATGAAATAACTGGTAGGAAGCCGGGTGAGAAACTGATCCACCAGCTGTGAAAACGAATGCCCACCTCGAGTTTGGCAGGACGCCAGTTCAGTTCACCATCTTACTCAAGAGAATGTGTCAAATTGAAGTACTTATAAGTTTGTGGATGTTACTGCACAACTGAACAGTGACAGCTGTGTTTGCTGCAGCTTTAGTGAGATTAGTATGATTTGCATATAAAATGAGAACCTAGAGAAACTGAAGGCCTGCTAAAGGTGACCATGTGTGGGTGTCCAGGACTGTGTTGTATGGAGGGTGGTTAGAGGGCATCTCCCAGGACTAAAGACAACTTTTCCAACAAGACCCGGTATATGAGACTATTCTATGTGAAATGACTTTTACATATAACTGCTATGGCCCAAAGCACATGGAGTGCAAAGTTGGGATTTCTATGCCACTGTATCATCACACCTGTCTTTATAGAGATTTACCTCAGTCTCAAACTTTGCTCATGGCTCTGGCTGCTGCTGACAGCAGAACACCTGCATTTGTGTGGCATCAATTCCTGATAAAGAGATATATTTCACTGTGCGATGGCATTAAGGGAAAGCTGGCAGCAGTTGAGCAGTGTGTTGCTCATAGCTACATTCACAATCGGGGCAAGTAGAAATGTGTGATTATGTCACATTACAGACACACATGATGGCAGACTAATGTTCCTCCATTAATGTTGACTGGATGTGTCTAGACAGCCCCAGAAGCCAGAGCTGTGACGTCTGTGACAGTCTGAATTAACATTCATGCTTTAATCCTGTGCAGTCTGATGGACACTGCATGGATGTTTTGATTGAGCTGTCAAATTATTTTAGCAACACAGCAATATTTATAACTGTCATTGATCCAATTTGCAAATTTGATGCCAGTCATGTGGAGGGACACACTATCTGTGCTCTTATGCCACACGGCCAGATTCTCTCCCGTCTCTGCAGATGCAAAATTACATTGCTGACATCCAGTCCAGTTTTCTTTTAAAGAACTCGACCCAGAAACTTAACAAATAAATAACTAATGTCTAAAGACATTTTATTCCAAAACTGACAAAATTTTGAAATAACAGTCTTCTAGCTGATTATTCAGAGAGGCAGACTAACAATCACAAGTACCTTTAAAGTTCTGAAATGGTTCAGGTTTTCTTAAGGTTTGGAGATTAAAAGCTTTTAGGATCCAGAGATCTCTTGGAGGATTTCAGCAGCAAGTGGAATCACATCGGCATGACACCTGGAACAGAGAGAAAAAAGAATTATATTCACTGGATCACAGTTGTGTTATTTACCTAATGACATAACCAATTTAAGACAAAATTTCAACAAAGTTGAAAATGATCGACGCTTCGATTCCAGCCCGTGCTGCATAATATCCCTCTCTCTTCCCTTGTTTCCTGCCTACCTCTGTAAGGCAAGGCAAGGCAAGGCAAGTTTATTTGTATAGCACATTTTAACAAGGTAATTCAAAGTTCTTTACATAAAACATGAAAACAACAGGGAAATATAAAAAAGTTTAAAAGCAACATAAAATATAATAAAAGTTACAGTGTTAAAATCAGGATTAAAAGAGTTAAAAGGAAATATTTAATTAAAAGCAATGATAAAAAGCTAAAAACAAAGAAAAAGAAAACAGGACAGTAAAAGTTACAGTGCAGTGTAAGTTATCAATAAAAAGAAAAATCTTAAATATTTAATTAAAAGCAATGGTAAAAAGAAAAGTCTTCAGTCTTAATTTAAAAGAACTGACAGTTTCAGTAGACCTGCAGTTATCTGGGAGTTTGTTCCAAATATACGGAGCATTATAACTGAACGCTGCTTCTCCTTGTTTAGTTTTGACTCTGGGGACAGAAAGCAGACCTGCCCCAGACGACCTGAGAGGTCTGGATGGTTCATAACGAAGCAGAAGATCGGAAATGTATTTTGGCCCTAAACCATTTAGTGCTTTATAAACTAACAGCAGGATTTTGAAATCAATTCTTTGACATACAGGAAGCCAATGTAAAGACCTCAGAACTGGAGTGATGTGATCCACCTTTTTGGTCTTAGTGAGGACTCAAGCAGCAGCGTTCTGAATCAGCTGCAGCTGTCTGATGGATTTCTTAGGGAGCCCTGTAAGGACACTGTTACAGTAGTCGAGTCGACTGAAGATAAATGCATGGATAAGCTTTTCCAGGTCATGCTGAGACATAAGTCCTTTAATCCTTGATATACAGTGCCTTGCGAAAGTATTCGGCCCCCTTGAACTTTTCGACATTTTGCCACATTTCAGGCTTCAAACAAAAAGATATAAAACTGTAATTTTTTGTGAAGAATCAACAAGTGGGACACAATTATGAAGTGGAACGAAATTTATTGGATATTTCAAACCTTTTTAACAAATAAAAAACTGAAAAATTGGGCGTGCAAAATTATTCTGCCCCTTTACTTTCAGTGCAGCAAACTCTCTCCAGAAGTTCAGTGAGGATCTCTGAATGATCAAATGTTGACCTAAATGACTAATGATGATAAATAGAATCCACCTGTGTGAAATCAAGTCTCCGTATAAATGCACCTGCTCTGTGATAGTCTCAGAGGTCTGTTTAAAGCGCAGAGAGCATCATGAAGAACAAGGAACACACCAGGCAGGTCCGAGATACTGTTGTGGAGAAGTTTAAAGCCGGATTTGGATACAAAAAGATTTCCCAAGCTTTAAACATCCCAAGGAGCACTGTGCAAGCGATAATATTGAAATGGAAGGAGTATCAGACCACTGCAAATCTACGAAGACCCGGCCGTCCCTCTAAACTTTCAGCTCATACAAGGAGAAGACTGATCAGAGATGCAGCCAAGAGGCCCATGATCACTCTGGATGAACTGCAGAGATCTACAGCTGAGGTGGGAGACTCTGTCCATAGGATAACAATCAGTCGTATACTGCACAAATCTGGCCTTTATGGAAGAGTGGCAAGAAGAAAGCCATTTCTTAAAGATATCCATAAAAAGTCTCGTTTAAAGTTTGCCACAAGCCACCTGGGAGACACACCAAACATGTGGAAGAAGGTGCTCTGGTCAGATGAAACCAAAATCTAACTTTTTGGCAACAATGCAAAACTTTATGTTTGGCGTAAAAGCAACACAGCTCATCACCCTGAACACACCATCCCCGCTGTCAAACATGGTGGTGGCAGCATCATGGTTTGGGCCTGCTTTTCTTCAGCAGGGACAGGGAAGATGGTTAAAATTGATGGGAAGATGGATGGAGCCAAATACAGGACCATTCTGGAAGAAAGCCTGATGAGTCTGCAAAAGACCTGAGACTGGGACAGAGATTTGTCTTCCAACAAGACAATGATCCAAAACATAAAGCAAAATCTACACTGGAATGGTTCACAAATAAACATCTCCAGGTGTTAGAATGGCCAAGTCAAAGTCCAGACCTGAATCCAATCGAGAATCTGTGGAAAGAACTGAAAACTGCAGTTCACAAACGCTCTCCATCCAACCTTACTGAGCTCGAGCTGTTTTGCAAGGAGGAATGGGCAAAAATTTCAGTCTCTCAATGTGCAAAACTGATAGAGACGTACCCCAAGCAACTTACAGCTGTAATAGCAGCAAAAGGTGGCGCTACAAAGTATTAACTTAAGGGGGCTGAATAATTTTGCACGCCCAATTTTTCAGTTTTTTATTTGTTAAAAAAGTTTGAAATATCCAATAAATTTCGTTACACTTCATGATTAATAACTTCAGTTTTATCCTTGTTTAATTGAAGAAAATTCCGGCACATCCAATCGTTGATCTGCTCAATATAGTTACTCAGTGCCTGTATGGGATCATAGTCCCCTGGTGAAATGGTTATGTAAATCTGTGTGTCATCTGCATAATTATGGTAACATATTTTGCTGTTTTTGATAATCTGAGCCAGTGGAAGCATGTAAATGTTAAACAAAAGAGGTCCCAGAATGGAGCCTTGGGGAACTCCACATGTCATTTTTGTCAGCTCAGATGTGTGATTACCTATAGACACAAAGTAGTCTCTGTCCTTTAAGTAGGATTCAAACCATTTTAGTACTGTGCCAGAAAGTCCAACCCAGTTTTCAAGTCTGTCTAGTAATATGTTGTGGTCGACCGTGTCGAATGCAGCACTGAGATCCAATAATACTAAGACTGAAATTCTGCAACTGTCAGTGTTTAAATGGATGTCATTGAAGACCTTAACAAGAGCCGTCTCAGTGCTGTGGTGTGGTCGAAAACCTGACTGGAAGACATCAAAACAGTTATTTAGTGCCAAGAAAGCACTAAGTTGTTGAATAAACAGCCTTTTCAATGATTTTACTTAAAAATGGGAGATTTGATATGGGCCTGTAACTGTTCATTAGTGAACTGTCTAGATTGCTCTTTTTTTTTAAGAGTGGCTTAATGACTGCAGTTTTCAGGGCCTGTGGGGAAAAAACCTGAGAGGAGAGACATGTTGACAATTTGTAGTAAATCTGAGGCCATGCATTTAGATACATTTTTGAAAAAACCTGTTGGCAGAATATCAAGGCAGCATGAGGAGGATTTCAGATGTTGTATTATGTCCTCCAGGTTTTTATGGTTAACAGAATCAAATTATCTCATGCTATATGAATTGCTTTTAAGTGGACACAGGGACAAGACATATCCTGTTACTGACATGGAGGCAGTGATTGCTTGTCTAATTGTTTGAATTTTGTCGGTGAAGAAGGAGGCAAATTCATTGCAGGCCCTGGTAGATAGAAGTTCAGAGGCTACAGACACAGGACGGTTGGTTAGCCTGTCAACAGTAGCAAACAGGCCACGTGCATTATTAGTGTTATTTCGGTGATGATGTCAGAGAAGAAAGACTGCCTTGCATTTCTCAGTTCTAAATTATAAATGCGAAGTCTCTCTTTATAGATGTCATAATGAACCTGGAGATCTGGTCACTGACTGAGACCCGTGAGAGGGCGGGTGTCGAAGAGAAAGCCTGAATAAATTTTAATAAGGCGTTTTGTGATCACCTCTGTTTTAACATCTGTGTGCACGCAGATAGCACTCTCAAAGAAAACACAAGAATGATCAGAGAGAGCAACATCAGTCACCACAACCTTGGAAATGTCCAGACCCTTGGAGATGACATAGTCCAAAGTGTGCCCCTTATTGTGTGTGGGCTTCAACACATGCTGAGTCAGTCCATAATTATCAAGAACACATTCTTTTTCTGTTACCTATCAAGACAGGGATGGAGAAGACTACCAGCACATGAGTGCTATTTTCCTTGTAGCTTGGACCCAGCACATATCAGACAGAGCTTACTGGGCTTTTTCACCATTGCGGAGCGGGAAGGCGGGTTTTGCGCTGTATTTGTGACACGTGTCAAACCTGGAGGACTTAGAACCAGTGGTGGAGGTGGACGGTGAGGGGGGTTTAGGGTAGAGAAAATGGGAGTGGAGCGAGGGAAGGTGCGGGGAGTAAATTTGGTCTTAGCTCTAACCTGTACTGTAATAAAGGCAAACATGCCAAAAACATAACCAAAAACACAAACAAATGATAATGTCATGTAATCTACATATTCTTTAAAAAGGGTTTGTGTAATGCTTATAGTCATTTGAATCATCTTTCTACAGGTCTGTATTTCTCTCACCTTCTGATTGCAGACTAATAATCTGAACATTGAATTCATTTCTGCATCTTCCTGTCCAAAACACCTGCATCAGGAAATGGTTCAGTGTTGGGCGGACTGACTTAGAAATGATCATGAACTGGCACTCTGAGCACCAAAGCCATCTCTGGCTTCTAACTGAACTATTGTGAACATTTGCAGTGTCATCTGAATTCCTGACCATTGTGAACATCAGGACATATTCTGTACACTGGTACACTGCAGCTGCAGCGTTTAGTTTTATTATCATTATTTGTTGGAAAATGTGCTCAACATCCTGCCTGACCTACATAAAGCACAACTGAGCCTCCGTCTGGTGTACTGGTGTTTGTCAGTAGCCATGCTGAGTTGCCTTTTGCCTGGCTGATATTCATCTCTGTTCTCTAAACATTAAATTTTCTTCTACAAGTTCCATTATTTCCTGTTTATGTTGTTGAATGAAATAGTTAGTATAGCAATAACAATAACAATGTAATGTCATTATAAGGCATTAAATAGAATATTACAATTTATTGTATTAATACTTTAGTCATGTATTACTTTGCACATAAATCTGTACATATCTGTATCATGAATTATATTTTTTTCATATTGGACCTTGCGTAGGTGGCTTTTCTATTATTTTAACTCAGCCATATGGCATAGTTGTTGTGGTTTAAAACAAATACTTGCTTGATCACCATAACAAAATATTTTTAGATTATGTACAAACATTCATATATTTATAATACTGTGGCTTGGTGAAAAAATCCAGTCTGCTCAGACCCTACAGGCTGTCTATAACCGAACCCTCCTCTCCCCACTCTCCCTCTCTTATCTCCCTCCCTCGTCCTCCTCCCTTCTTCTCCTCCTCCCAGGTGTCTTTGAGGGCAGCCTGACAGCCAGACCAGCAGAAGCCCACCCCTTAGTTGATTAAAACCTTCATAATTAACCTAATTAACACAGCTCCCAGAGGCATAAGAAATCCTTCAAAGTTTGTACATTTGGAGAGCATAAATTGGATCCATAAAAGTTTTAAGACAAACTTTCACAGTCCCAAATTGGTACTCAGCAGCTGCGTGGAGGATTGCGGAAAATTAAATAACTGGTTTTAGATTACAGTGAATGGCTATTACAGAACTACATTAGCATCAAATTTGCATTTGGGTGTGGAAGTCCTGTGTTTTCCACCAATAGAGAGTTACCAGCAGAACTTAGTGGACAATCATTTCATCACTTGAGACAATAGTGATCATGGAAATTTGTTTTCAGTAGTAGTAGTAGTTTGTATACATACTCCTACCACTTGGAGTGTGGTTTTCACACACTCGTCATAAAATCGTATATATATTTTTTAATGAGTTGAGCTACTTCTGGTTGAGTTATATTTTTCCACGTACCACTGGCAACTGCAGAAGTACTCCCCTGGGGTACAAGTTCTCCTCTTTGGGAGTCATTGCCCTTAATAATGGGGGGGGGGGGGAGTGGCGGCTTACAATTTGACAGTTTCAGGGTATTAATGCTGGCGTTCTGGTAAAATCCTTCATAAATTGTAGCTGAATCCAAAATTGTTGTTTGCAGAGGAGTTTTGTAGTTTTCTGAGGGCTGCACAACTGATGTTTGACTGAACGCAGCAATAAACTAAGGATCAGGTTTTGGGCCTCAATGCTTTTCTTCTGGATGGAGAACCGTGAGTGACGCTCCTCCCCTCCCTTACACTTGGGCGGCTTGAGGTTTTGAAAAAGGCATTCCTCAGGTTGCCATGGAAAAGGCTGAATGACATCATTTAGGTTAGGATCTCAGCCCAGATCTCCCCTCGCCTTCCCACTCTTCATCCGTCTCCACTCTCTGCTACCACTCTCCTCTCATCCTCTCAATTAAACCCCACCTTCTCCCCTCCCTTCCTCTCCTCTTCTCTCTCCTCATAACTCCTTTCATCGCCTGCCCTTTCTCCTAAAACCTCTGCTCCCCTCCTCCTACCGCTAAACCAGTGGGAGTGTGCCAGTCTCAGCCACTTCAAAGGCAAGAGCTGCTCTGTGCTTTCATCTGCCAGAGAGGGAGAAGAGAGAGAGGAGACGGGGGGAGAGGAGAAGTGGAAGAGGGAAAGCACGAGAGAGAGCGGGAGAGAGGAGACAAGGGGAGAGGAGAAGTGGGTGAGGGAAATAGGCATGACATGGGCATAGAGGGTGAAAAAAGGGAAGAAAAGGAGTGATCGAGGAGAAAAGAGTGGGAGAGGGAGGGGAGTGTGGGAGAGAGCCTCTATGGAAGGACAACAATACACCTTTATTATTGATCTGACGGGGTGTGTGTGTGATTGAGAGACAGTTTGTACATAGACGGGGGTGAAAGCAACTGTGTGTGTGTGTATTTGTGTGTGACAGGTCGCTGGTCTCATACATCAAGCGATCAAAGGAAGCATGGTCGCTACGGCGACAAAACCCTTGGCTCAAAGAGGGAACATTCGGCCCACATCCTCACAAAAGGAAGCCAGATGCAAAGATACAGGTGCACACAAAAGAGTTAGAGTTGTCAGAATCATCTTTGGTAAATATTAGCTATTATATAGAAATTAGAAAGTTGCATTTGTTTTGACTATTTGAAATATTTCATGTGTGTTAATGTATGATAGATAAAAAAACGGTTGTACTAATTAGTGCCCTGTTTCTGGCATACTTTTAAAGGGGCCATGTGTAGTTTTCAGTGGCCTCTGCTGGTGAGATTGCAACCACGACCTTTCCAAGCGTGTGCTTGTGCTCATGTGCATGCTCAAACTAATGAGAGAGCACTCTGCGTCGTTTTTATGGACACACCTCAGAAAATCGCAGCTTGACGTTGAACTAATCTATGCACTTTAGTATAACAGTTAGACTGTAGTAAGTAACGTTACTGACAGACGAAGAAGTTGTGTAAAATGACAATGAATCTAAATTGAACACTACGAAGTAAACAACAGTAGAGCCGTGCCAACGTTAGCTGGCTGCCTCACATCTGCTGTGTACCTTTACCTAATTTCTTGCTGGCTAAAGCAAGCAGTGATTTCCAGCTAACGCTGACCCGATTTCTTCACATAGGAAGCAGCATTGTTTTACAGAGAGTTAAATTTCATGCATGTGCATCTGAGATGCCTTTATTGCAGCATCCTTTGCAGGACATCTCCCTTAAACACAGATTATGTTTACATAATAAGCCACAATTCCAATCCAAGTATGTCCTGGTGTATTTTATTTAGCTCAGGTTACTTGCTTTGTCGTTAAAAGTGAGCATTACTTGCAGTAATTCATTAAACAGAGAATCACAGTCGAAGCAGTGCTCCCTGTACACAAACCTTGCAGTTCCCAAACTTGTAAATCTTTGAGGGAAGCTGTTACTTTGTCAGGTGCATGAAGGTGGTGTAGGTCATGTTTACGGCCAAAGTTTTATTTTTAATACATATGTGATCTCTCAGCTCTTTGTGAGATATTAAGCTGACACTATCCTGTCAGAAGATCGCATCCTTTCAATTACCTCGCAAAAGATCAGTTTTGAGAAATGTAATTAATAATGTGTGTAGTGTAGTGTAAATAATAAGATGACGGAAAGGGCTAGAGAAGAAATATCTAAATCCACAATGATGTCCTTTGAGGTATGGTTTCAACGCTGAAGTACACACACTGCTGGCAAAAATTAGCGTCTTATATGGACAGAGCTTCAAATCTTGACATCTAAAAGGTCAGTTATTAAAAAAAAGGATTATTTTGTCAATCTGAGATCAATTCAAAGCATCTGTTACATCAAAATGGAATAGTCTAGTATTCCCTTATAAATTTATATTTTCTATGACACCCACACACCAACTGCTGACACACACACCTGTTGGATGTAGTTATATCCTGCAGTAGACTCAGTAGCCCCGCCCCTTCGGTACATTCTAACCAATCGGATCGCTCTGTAGTCTGCACCTAAAGAAAGACAGAGAGAGGACGAGCAAAGTGAGTGAGAAAGACTAAAGGGATGATCACATTAGTCTTAGTTATATGGCAGTGGTCCACACTTGACAAAGGATGTGATGTGACTAAATAAATACTGAGTAGTGTACGAGAGCATCACTGCACTTTTATAAGAACACACTGTTAGAATAACAGTTCCAAATACAATGCATCACTGTTTCTATTAGCCAATTGTGCAGATTCACACTGTCAAAGTAGAACAAAAGTGAACTTTGACCTGCAAATTGGCTACAGCCAGATCAGTACTGAAACAGGAAACATACTTTTCTATTTTTTGTATTTAAAACAAGTTCTTTATCCAGTTTTGCAAACACAAACTTCACCACCTTGTAAAGTAATACTTGTCCAATCTAAGAGCCAAAAAGTCAGTAAAGCATGCCAGTCCCCTACAAGCCTCCATGAGTCATCCTGCTAAAGGTCAATAAATGACATGAGTAGGACAAAGAGGAAGAAGACAAGCAACTATAACCATTATCTATAATAATAAGAAACCAATGATGACACGTTAGTACATTGGAAATATAATTTTCACATCCTTTGTTTTCTTTTCACAGCACCAGTGAAAACCATCCCATAGACCACTACATTATAAGAAACACTAGTCTGTCACAGAATCATTTTGCAAGTTACTACAAACAACTGCTGAGTGGCATCACAATCATTTGTCAATGACATTTCAAAGTAAATTGATCATAGAGCTAATTGGCTAAAAATCCAGCTGAATGCACACCCACACGCGGTGTTACATTAGTGCCTTTTCAAATAAGTCCTTTAATTTTTCCTTCTTGTCATTTTGATTCTTGCACTCCTTACTGCTCCTCAGTAGTGGTCATTTGTTTGTCCATGAATTAACTCTTTGATTCTACTGCTGAATTTATACAACACTCTGGATTCTACTAAGTAGTCAGCTAAAGAGCATTCCCCTCTCTTCCTTCACTGAATTTCCTTACTTACGTCATGTATCTTGTCTTTGTCATCCCTCTGATTGTATTCCTGTCCTGACATGTCTCCCTACACCAAGATGTCTAGGCTCCACACCCACCCAGGAACACCTGGTCCACAGACTGCTCTGTGTGTGTGTTAAGGTTGGTTCTCCATTTAAAAAGGCGGCATTTACTGTTGCAAAGTTAGGTTCTGATATAAGATCTGATTTAACATTACGGTGACAGTTTGTTGTGGAACAAATTTATTCCAATAAATGATAAAAACTGTGTTGCCTATGTCTCTTTAAGGTGTGTGTGTGTGTGTGTGTGTTGAGTGGATGTATGTCCACGTGTTTGGTGTTTTCTCTCTGATCTCTGGTGTCATCATCACCTCTGTCTCTCCCGTGGCACGGCATGGCTGTTGCTAGGCAACGGGGTTAGGAGGAGACAAAGACACTCCCCTCACCCGCTTACTTTTTTCACAAACACACGCACGCACACACTTCGCCTTCCCCATCAGCAGGGTAAGGGGACATTTATGTGTGTCTGCCAACCTATCATCCCTTCTCCATCCCTGCCCTCCACCGTCTTCATCCTCTCCTCCCTCTTCATCCTCCTCTCCCCCATCTCTACCTGACCAACACCCTGACTCTGTAATTCTGAACGCAAAGTCAGATGAGAGACAAGAGACAGACAAATAGACGTTACCTCTCAGAAAGACAGCTTAGGGCCATCATAATAGATATTAACTTCAAACAAGTGATAATGTACCTGACAGCAGAGAACGAGAGAGAGGGAGCACCGTGAATCAGTGGTTTCCCTCCTATCTTGTAGACAGGACACATTTTATTCTAATTCAGAATTACCGGCCAGAAAGGTCCAGAGTTCACCACGGAGTACCACAAGGTTCAGTGATGGGGCCACGTGTGTTTATTATTTACCTGCTCGCACTATATCTTCCAGCAGCACTATGGTATCCATTACACTGTTATGCAGATGCACTAAGCCCAGTTCTACTCTCGCTTCCAGTACCCCCACTGCCTGTCTCCATAATATACACGGATGACAAACAACTCCCTAAAATTCAACAGTGGGAAGTCTGAGCTGCTCACTGGTCCTAAATCTACACTTTGTCTCCACACAGGTTAGAATCAGAATCAGAAGGAGCTTTATTGCCAAGTAGTGTTTTACACATACGAGGAATTTGCTGTGGTGATAAGGTGCTACACGTAGACAAACATACAGTCAACATAAATAAATGTAGAAATATATAAATATGGAATGGAAGAACAACGTTGCAGATATATACATGTGCATTGTTCTGGGTCTGTGCCGTGCAGAAGTAACGCAACGGAAGAGAATATTGTGTACATATAAATATATGAACTGACAACATAAAAAATATATACGACAACAAAGACCAACAATCAACAACAAATATGTGCGACTTGCCAGGTCTGTGCCCGACACGAGATGAAACAGTAGTAGGTTAAGAGCCTTGGTGCTATCCTGGACAGTACCCTTTCTTTCTCCAGTCATGAACAATGTTGAGGATGAAGATTTCCCTTTTCCATCTGTGAAACATCACCAGACTACGCCCTGCTTTAACGCAACACTCCACAGAAGTCTTAATCAATGCTTTGGTCACATCACGCATTGACTACTGCAATGCGATCCTAACAGGCATCCCCAATAAAGGTATTCACCGACTTCAACTCATCCAGAACAGGCATCATTACACGCTCAAAGTCCACAGAACATGTCACTCCCTAGCTGATTCAATTACACCGGCTCCCTGTGTCACAACGGATTAACTTTAAAATCTTATTATTAACATTCAAAGCTCTCCACAATCTCTCCCCTGCTTATCTCACAGGCCTCCTACAGACTTACACTCCACCTCGCTCCCTGCGGTCTTACACAGCAGGTGTACTGGCGCTACTAGCCATCAACCTCAACACAATAGGTGCCAGGGCTTTCTCCTATGATGCATAACCAAACCACATAGCTAGCTGTAACACTTGTTCAGGCATTGGGACATTGTCTTGATGAAATTGAAAACTTGTTGAACTTGAATGTGTTTATTTAGTTCAATCCGCTTGGAAATATACATTTTTATACGGTTCACTTTAGACACAATCACGTGGCTCTGCCCACTTTTGGCCAGCTCGCCACACGAGATATTTTTGTCATAAATGACTCAACTTCCAAGTGAACAACTGGCCAAGCTGGAAGCACTGCAACTGAGTGACTGATGGATGGATGATGGACAAATACTTTTCCATGTTTCCAGCTCAAACATGTAAAATGTCACTATAACTGGACATAATATGCTTTGACATTTTGGAGACTCTGTGCTGAGATATTTCAGCCTCTGGAGATGAGAAAGGAGGAAGCTTCTAGACATAAGAGTGTAGTATGAACAGGACAGCATTGACAACAATATCCTGTAGTGTGTTAACTCAATTTACACAAAATAATACATATTAATAAACACTATTTGTGTTGGACAAGTTGACATAATGGATTTATGGCGGTTTATATGTGAAATGAGTTTGAGAAAGACACACATGTACATTCATATTTGGGGACCAATCACTGAACACCATAAATTCAGTGTTGACAGAGGCAGACGACTAAGTTTATAAATGCTTGTACAGTAATAAAACTGTTTAAAAAGAAATAATAAATTATTATTTCCCTGACAACTTCTTACGAATCCCTTTTCATTTAATTAGCATTCCCCTTTTAAGTCTTTCCAAGTTGTGTGTTGAGAAAAAAAAAGACAAGTTGAAAATTTCACTAATTCAGACTTGATTTATTCTCCCTCTCTCCTCCTTTTCAGTTTCCAAGCTATTACCGGGATCTTTGATTGAGATTAGCGGAGCCATGAAATCAATGGAAGATAATTAAAAAGCCTTTGTTAAAGGGCAGGCACTTGTGTGTGGGTGTGTGTTTGAGAGCGAATATGAGTCACTGTGTTTCTGTGATGGTATATCTGTGAAAAAGTGTGATTTGTGGATAACGAATGTCTGTTGCATTCTTTCAAAGCTGCATATTGTTCTCTGTGAATTGGTAATGAGATTCAAGGAAAGTCAACTTAGCAAACAGTTATAAGATGTTGATTTCAGGCTTTCTTGAAACTTTAAACAGCTTCTTTAAAACTTTAGCTATTGGACTCCTATGGGAAAAAGGCACAAGACGGGGGGAAAGTATTGCAACAGTTCTCTGAGGGAACTTTAATATTTAAATCTTTTAAATTTAAATGTGCAATGAGTCAAATAACGAAATGTGCAGAATGGTAGATGGGTATTTTTTGGGCAAATAAATTAGTTCTTCTCCTAGCAATGAGCTGCTTAGTGACTCATGTACTAGCTATGAGGAAATGGCTGAAACACACACACATAGTTTTGTGTGTGTTGCTCAGGGTGGTGAGCAGGATCGAGAATACACACCTTGATGTTACTGTAGCTGTTAGCACAGAGGGTAATGAGGGAGTTTGCACAAGGGGACAAATTTGCTACAAAAGACACAAAAAGAGAAAGAGGTAAGTCTGTGAGCGTGTGTGTGACGGAGTTTGTGTGTGGGTGGTTCAGGTGGCTGGAACTCATTAGTGAGAGGAATCAAAAATACACACGCACTCTTGCACACATGCAATCCCCCGCCCCCCTCCAGGCACAGCCTTCAGTCAGATCATATGATGTCAGGGTGACAGCTGACCTTGTGTCCCATGTGCAGAAACTATTTCATGACCCTGCGGCCAAGCCAAAACATTAGGAATGCATTTTACATAATTCATAGGGGTCTAGAGAAAAACCATCCAATTTTTCAAACTGGTCGTGTTGACTTTTTATGATGAATTTTCACTGGACTGCCCTCACCAACCCTGCCCCTCTTTTACCCTGCTGTTCAAGTTAATACTGGACAATTCTGCAAAGTTCTAGCACATTTTTTAAATATCTTGTTGTGTCAGTAGCATGACAACTTAAGCATGCTTAAATTTAGGCAACCAAATTTTAAGGTTACAGGCATGCTGCCATCATGGTTTATTAAAGTCAACATTCATTGTTCTGGCCAGAGAAAGGATGCAAACCCTGGCCAAGTAGCGGACACTGTGGGTAAATGTAGTACCGCAGAATCATCCTATAGGATTTCCTAGGAATGTTAGGCAGGATATATATACCACATATGTTGTTTGACTGCCTTCATTTAATTTCTACCTGAATAAGTGAATTGTGAAATCCTGGTGAATGTTAGCTGCTTCCACATGGAGCTAATGTTATTTAGTACATTTTGGGTAGTAGAAGCTTCAATAAATCTCCACCTGCTTTACTGCAGTGTGTTCTCTTTCAGAGTCAGACGAGTCTTTGGCCTGAACTACAAATCATTTTGACTATCAGACAAAATTGGACAGACATTCAAACAGAGTGACAGGCAGATACAAACCAACACCTTTTCTCCCCATCCGTCTTGCTCCTTCTGTCTTGTTCTGGTGAAACTACACTCTATTTTCAGAACAGCAGCACAGCAGGGCTGTCTGCACTGAGTTTGTTTTTATTATTCCAATATATTCCTTCTGCAGTTAATATTTTAACCCTCAAAATACAAACAAACACAGGGCCAAGATTCTTGAATCATACAGAGATATTCAAACAGGATTCAGTGCTGCGATTTGAACAAACTAGCACCTGAAAAGGGGGGCACAGAGCACAAATTGATATTTGATTAAATGTCATACAAGCAGTGTTAACATGACATTTCTATGTAAGTGCACAGATGTTGGTCTGTTTGTGTCTCTGTGTGTGTCTGCCTACCTAAATGTATACTGTACTCACCAGTCGTTTGATGATCCTAAGTGTTGTGCGTTGGATTCGGGGAGTCCCAGTGTGCATGTGTGTGTGCAGCACGTGTGAAAAGTTTTGCAAGCAGGAAGGTGACAGGCAGTCACAACCCTCCCCTCCATACAGCTGGACAAGTAGGGACAGACACTGAATAGACTCCTCCCAAACCTCCTGGTTTTCAGTGGACAGCTACAAGGAGAAAAAATCTGTTAATAAATGGAACGATGAAATAACTTCATGCAGCATGTTTCTATTTATGTTACTGTGGTTGCTATGGGCCATGGGCCAAAATAAAGTGAAGCAACTGATTGAATTCTCCTTCTTCTAGGTGTACTTACAGTGCAGATCATAAATACAATATTAAATGAAATATGAAATCATGAAGTGATACTTTCACACACAGCTCAGTATATTAAAGCACACTTTCAAGATAATTATTTTTTACAATTAATAATCACAGCCACTATGTGAAAAAATTACAAATTTGCCTGAGTTGTAATGGTATTTTGGAGCTTTGTAATGATAATCTATAGAAAATTTTACATTAACAGTTATAACTACTTACTCTATTTGAATCAACTTATTTGGAGGCCATATCAGGTAAACATCGACAAATGTTACACGGAAGCATCCAGGATCGATGTTCACTTAGACACAAATGGTAACTGACCCCTTGCCAGATGAATAAACTTCATACACTGTGTAAATCATTAGACCACTATTCTTCAGAACTGTATTCTTTTAACACAAGCAAGTTTTGCAGTTTTAATGATATTAGATTCAAGGACCATATTAAGTATTTCTGATTCTGATTCTGATTAATGCTGCTTCTTTCTCTATCCCACTAATCTCCCATGGGGCAAAGGGGCTGAGCGGAAGCCGGGGGTGTGTCAGACGCCCACCCAACACTCAATGTGTCAAGTATATATAAGTAAAAACCTCTATGGTGTCCCTTGAGATCTCCTCTTCTCCTCCACCCCCCACTTTCCTAACCCGATAACACCTACTGCGATAACATTTCCACATTTCTCTCAGCAGGAAAGGCCAAGATTGTACCCACTCTTATCTTACTATTTTTCAGATTGCATCACTTTCTGTGCTGGTACTTACAGATGTGACAGCCTTGTCTGCAGATTTCTGCAAGTAATATTTGTAATAACTGTAGTATAATTACTTTAGAAGTAGAATAATAATCTGCATCAAACAGTTTGCAAGGAGCATAGTTCATTTATTAAACATCGTACACTGAAGCACATGTAGCAGAGTCAGTACGTTTGCAGAAAACTACGTAACCTGTAACTTTAACAGAACTGTATGAAAGAATTAGACAGACTCAGAGTCTGTGCATGAAAATGCATTTCAAGCATTTTATTTGTCTCTTTGAAATTAGTTTACTGTAGGACTGCTTGATTAACTTCATTACCATAACAGACGTATGCACCCTGCTTTGGAAGACAGCTAATTAAGGAAGAACTTTTAAACAAAGCTTGGTCAGTAGTGTTGCTGTTTACAGTGCAGTCAGAAATGGGAGTTAGGTTTGACTATTGACATATTTAGTCTGGGAGGAAGCTGCCAGAAGCTGTTAGTTACCATAACAGTGGCAGATGGTTTTACTGGTCAGGTTAGTCTAATCTTAAAGAAGAAAGGACAGGAAAAGTTGTGTTAGAAATTTTGCATTTTACCTACTTAACAGCACTGACGTGGACATCAGACTGGCTTGTTATGAGCAGTTCAAACTAATTTGTGGGACCAGTTGCAGCATTAGCAACTGGTGAAAAGTGCTGCATAAGGTGTCACTTTCAATGTAAGCAGTTGATTTGAACTAGAGATCTTTATATTGTATCAGTACTTGTATCACTCTGTCTGCTAACTAATACCAATTATCAAGTATTACTCACAGGTAGAAATCATACCCAGAGACCTGACACAACATAAAGGATCAATTAACCAGACAAACAGGCATGTTCTCTCACACACTTCCTTGCATAAATAAGCATGCATACACAGTTTGTCTCACTGTATCAGGCATACATTTAGACATACAGTGCACAAACAAGCATGCAGGAGAAAACAGAAAATATGTGTATGAATGCAAGGCATTCAGATATACACACACACTGTGAGTGTTGGTCTCACCGTGTGAATGAGGTGTGTGCTGAGTTGGCTCAGGGGTCGGTTTTCCAGGAGCAGCTTCTCTGCTGCCTCCATCGCTGCTGCTGGACAAGATAGCCTCTGGCTCTACACGCACACGCACACGCACACGCACACACACACACACACACACACACACACACACACACACACACACACGTTAAATCATTTATAGAGATTTGACAGTCAATAATGATGGATCCAGAGACCTGCCAAGACAGATTCTGACAGACTGAGATAGACAGAGAAAGACTAAATAGACTACAAGAGGAAATAGTTTTTCTGCATGTTGTGTTATTTTAATTCTCCTTTAACATTCGATGTGGTCCTAACAATTTTCTATTTGTCACATCAAGTCATTTTTATTGCATCTCATTCTCATTAAGATCTCAGTCCCCCTCCCCAATTAGCACCTCTGTCCCTCACTTTCGCTTATTTTAGTTTAGTTCATGCCTATAGTGGAACTTCAGGCCAATTAGCAGTGGAATAATGTGATTAATACTGACACATATTTTCTCTCTCTCTTTCCCAAAGCCAATTCTTCTTGGTTATGCTCACTCTCTCCTTCTCTTTTTTCTTCTGTAGTATACATAATCTCTGACTCTCTCTCTGACTCTCTCTCTCGACCAACGGAGTAATAGTTTTGGGAGAGCGGTCTAGTCACGTCCTCTCTCCTTATCAGACCTTATTACCCAAATGAATTTGGTTTGGGCAGAAGTTTTCTTTTTAATGAGCTTTGCATTTCTCATAGAATTGATTTCTGCTGCACATTCTGCTTGCTCCCTTTTCCATCTCTGTCTCTCATTCTGTCTCTCCATCCTGCCCTCTCCCTCTTCTGTCCTTCCCTCTTCCACTCAGTCTTTTACCCTGCCTCCCCTTTTAGCCCCCCCACCCCCCTGTCCATGCATTAATATGTATGTGCTGGGGTGCACGTATGGGGAGATGGGGGCTGGTGTGTGTGTGTGATCGTATGTGAATGTGTGTCCGTGAGTGTAGGGAGGCAAGCTGAGGACAAAGCCAGTGGTGATAATGAGGCCGCAGGGACATAGCCAGACAGGCCCCTCTGTGTATGCCTGTGAGTATGAATGTGTGAATGTGTGTGTGTGTGTGTGTGTGTGTGTGTGTGTGTGTGTGTGTGTGTCCCACGGACTCGGGACCTCATCCACTTTCTCCTGAGTCCACAACTTCAATATTGCAGTTGCTTAAACCTGCTAGCTTCCACTGCACACATCAATGGACACACAGACACGCCACGAGAAATGATACAAGGGCAACATTTTGAGGGAGTTGACTTTGTGATTCTGTGCTCAACAGAGATGAAACTGGTAAATACTGGTGAACCAATGTGGGAAATACAACACCTTATATAGACCAGTGTAACATGATGCAGTAAAACAACTGACACACAGCTAACAACCATTTAAAAAATATATGATATTGTTTTTTAAACTACTTCAAGAGCCTCAATATGTTTCAATAAAACCCAATGCGATTAATCGCATGATTTTCTACGATTAATTGCATTGTTATGCTCAAACTTGAATAATGAATTCTAAAGTAGTGTATTGCACACTTTTAATTTAAATGTACAGCTATTTACACAAAAGTGCGATAACATGTGGTTTGCAAACTCTTTAAACAAATAAGGTGCTTTTTTACCAGCAGTATGCCCTTTAGCCTACACAGTCACAATAAAATATTGTAAATCCTAACTTAAACATTAATGTAATCAAATCATATATAAAACACAAGCTATTTGCCACTGCCAGGGCATTACCTTTTATCAAGAGTCAGAGTCTAGGGGTGGAGGAAAAAATAGATACAGCATAGTATAGCGATATTTTCCATGGCAATACTGTACAATATCGGTACATAAACGCCAAGTATTGATCTTTTATCATCTAAATTGTACATGAGAATTTTAATTTTTTGGCACTATAATAATAAAATCAATAGCTTTTTCAGTCCACTAGAAAAGGAGTTTTCCTTTGGGGACACAATTTAAATTTGGAAAAAAGTAATAAATTCCAATACATCGCAATATTGTTAAAATCGCAATAATAGCATATTGTGACATAAGTATCGTGATAATATCGTATCGTGGGGCATCTGGTGATTCCCACCCCGATCAGAGAGATCTCTTTATTTGTTTTTTTTCTGAACAAGTATCAGCAGAAACATTTTTCTTTCATAAGGGAGCAGCAGAAACAGTCTTTGTCACAGTCTTTTCTTGTGTCCCTGTTAGAAGTTGAATTGTTTTGAACTTTTGTATCCTCGCTATTTGTGAGTTTCCAGAATCTATCACTGTTGACTAAATAGGACATCAACAGGAGGGAATTCGCATGGCAGAGCATCCCCGCAAAACTCCATGTAGGTCTATCAGGTAAAGTTATGTAGCCTATAATTTTAACTTATGTTAAATAGGCTACAGCTGTGTAACACACAGAAGTTTTTGCCATGGTTACTATCCATAGAGCGCCTGCCGTTTACTCGTGGAGCGCTTGTCTCCTTGTCTGATCACTGGAGCAAAGAGCAACCCCGCGGGGCCAAGCAACTACGTTACGATTTTAAGAATGTTCCTAAGATCGATATCTTCCCAATACTAATCAGCATGCAGTGTTTAGCTATCCACTTCGCTATGGCATTTGTTCGCTTGTCTATCTACTTCTCCCACACGCTGCACCTGCCCGAAGCCTCCCTCCACGGCTTGTTTGGGTGGGTGATTGCAGGCTGATCAACATCCCACCCCTCCTGTGACCCAGGGTTTGACTGTATGTGTGTATTCAGAGCCAGAGAGCAACGAACTTTCAAAATAATAATAATAAATACTGCGTTAACGTGAGATAAAATAATTGTCGGTGTTAAGTAATTAATGTGTTAACGCGATAATAACGCTTTAACTTGCCCAGCCCTAGTTCTATGCCTTGCTCATAGGCAGCTTGATGACCATTGTTGGAGAGAGGGCAGTGAGTGTCCATACCTGCAGTGCGGAGCGGACAACAACAGATGTTTGTTTTAAGATGTTGTGAAGCAGCTCCAGAAGGGCTTGTAAAACAAGATGGCTGACCTTCCTCCCATGCCCTTCTCCATCCAGGTGAAATAGTGCAGCCTCTGAGAGGGTGCTCACCACCACCTCTATTAGACCTGTGCAGTAGAAGAAAAGCAATTGGATACAGTCACTCGAGTTTTGGATACAATGACTTGTTGGTACCAAAACAACTATATTTTACACTCTGGTGTAAACATTGCACAGGAAACATGTATCTTTATTGCCTGTCTCTTCATTGTCACTAGGAAATATCACATTTACAAAAATATCAGTTTGCTCACAAGCTCATTAAATCATTAACATGAATGCCCATCATAGATTGTAACCAAGCAAATCAACCTACTTCTACGTTTCAAACAACTAAGACACGTCCCACTCTCTCCTACATGTATGTTGGAAATACACAACGGTACACCTGAGCCTGACTTGAGTAAATGTCTGTAGCTGCAGGCTCTGGTTCGACTCCACAGTAGATCGATAGCCCCTGCACAACATGAGGGACACTCTCCCTTTTAGGTCGATTAGCATTTCACTGGCACCAATATGCCCAGCAGAGAAAAATAGCTGCCTTCAACATTTAACTCTTTAAACAGCACTCGAAGCTGTGCAGTTTGAATTCATCTGCGACAATCTGATAGTATCAACACATCCAAGTCCTAAGAATGGTAACACAAATAGCAGCAAAAGACAACTCAAATTAGATCTAAAAATACATTCTGTTCTTCTCTTTGTATCTCTTCTACTTCACTGTCACCTCACTTTATACCTCCCTAGAAAACTGTCCGATGTAGAACATGTTGTAAAGCTGCTAACCCTTGCCAAGCCGTTAATAAATAGCTCTTACTAAAGTGCAAAACCATGTTCCTTTGCTCATTAAAGTTAACATGAAACGTAGTTTGCTACCGCAGGCTTCTGCCCCTGAGACACACCTCTGTATGTGAAGACTAGATAAATTCTGCTCTGTCTGTAATGACATATGGGTTCCAATAAATGTACAGTGCCTATCAAGAAGTCCAAAGTTCTACCTTATTTTCATTTCTATGCACAAAAAAAGTAACAGTTAAATAACAAATAAATTAAATCACTGTCTTCACTGGGGAAAATACACCCAGTGTTATTTTCTATTCCAATAGATCTTTATTTAGAATGTAGATGTTGTGTGTGTGTTTATTTGTGTGAGTGAAAGTGCAACACTGCTGACACTAGAAAGCTATTAAGCTAGCCTGCTGTCAGTGAGATGAACTGTTGCTTTGTCAAGCCTCATATTTAAATAAACAGACTGCTCTACTTGGGACTGTTGAGTCAAACAAAGATCTCTTCTGCTGTTAATGTAATCTGACAGTGCAGTCCTGTTCTAGATAGTTCAGCTCAAGTGTATGTTAATAATATTATTCTGTTATTATCTGCTGAGAGTAGCAGCCATCACTATACACAGCCATCTGATCCTGATATTTAAGCCACCTATCAACCAAGCTTTACAGCTGCATAAGTAATCAAAAGGAAAATTACTCTTTGACTGTGTACCTAAATATTTGAAGCATATGCTCATATTGGGAATATACATACAACACACAGTGCTTGTAACTAGTGATCATATGGACTTTTAGGGTATAGAAATAGTCCTAATTTTCTAACTGGCCGAGTCAACACCATAAAAATCTGCTACAATTTTGCTATGTTGAAGGGACACATGTATTTCTGAAAGGTTACAGCACAATAGAAAAATATAAATAAAAAATATATACAATTAATGTACAAAGGTCAAGCTACACATAGTTTTGAAGTCGGCTAAAAAGAAAAATCTACAGAGCTAAGGAAGTAGTCAAAGCTGGAAATTGGAAAAGGAATTCGAAGCATACCAAACATTAATTCCAAATGCATACAATATACTCCTCTGACTGAATTTCACCAGCAATGGCTAAATGCATTACAGATTTAAACTCAATAATATGAATAAACAAACAAAACCAAAACTTCAACCAGAAAAGACATTTAGATAGGAATCTGACTACAGCAGCAATGCCAGCAAAGCAGAGTCTGTACTGCACTGTAGATTCATAGATAGATAGCTGACTGAATCCCTCGTCTTCTGGACGTCATAGGACACACATTTTCCAACTGCAGTCTCCAACATAACATTTGACACATTTCCAACGCACAAGACATTTCTGCATGCTTGACCCTCTGTGCGTACCCTTGATTAAATCATGCACAACAACTTTACTTTATAGACCCATATTCCATACAGCTTCCCAAATTAAACCGTGTAAATCATTGTGGAGTGTGGGAGACAGAGGCATCCTGGGAATGCACTGAGCACAAACAGTTCACAAAGTTGCATGAAAAATAATTCAAAGACTAACGTGAGCAACTGACATATTTATTATTATATATTTATATTTTTCATAGAAATGAACAAAAATAGCACGTGCGGTTTGATGTGTACTTAGTGTCGTTGCACACATTTCATTACGAATACATGGTCAAAACAGAGACCCACATTTATTAGCACTGCAGATTCATTATATATTAAAACAGCCACTGTATTTGGGGACAACAGGAAAGGAAAAGTTTCATAACATTACTTCATGTTTGTGCAGCGTGATCCAGTCTTATCTTGGTTTGGCTCCGTTCTGGTTCTCAGTCAGCTATACATCAGAAATTGCTTGATTCCTGTGTAATCATGTCATATGCCAACAAGTACATTTTTAAAATGTCATATGTACTAATGTTATGTGCTCATTTTAAGACTGGAGGAATTATGTAGTGTAAACCATTGTGCTCTGTCCTATTTTAGAGTTTGGACTTTAACTAGGTTAAAAATAGACATTCTACAATGCTTTGCAGTATCATCTATTTATAAACCATGTAAAATGATTTTCTACTGGGAATCAACAGGACAGATGGCTCACAGCATTATTGTCTAAGCAAATTAGGAAAGTTTTCTGGGGACAGGAAAACCTCTACTAAATTGATAACATATGACTAATGGATAATGTTTCAGTTAATTTAAATAAACTTTAATTAAAGGTTGTAAGTGGCTTCAATAATGTGATTTTCCCCAATAATGTATGCAACATCTGGGTAAGTCTTCTTCAAGGATGGAGTGAAGTATAGCATGATGAAATTGTGTATGTGCTTGATGTGCTTACTGAATATCTAAATGAGAATGCTTTTTGTGTTATTAATTTCCATCAACACATAGATATATAAAAAATTATTAGAAAACTTATTTTATTTATTATATGATGTCTGGTCCCATCCTGTGGCTAACAGAAGTGACCACTACCAACATATTCTGTAGTGCACTCAGTATTAAGCATTCATGCATTGATCAAGAAACCAACCTGATTGAATCTACAGGACCACAACCATCCAGCTAGCAAAAAATATATACCAAAATAGACTTCATACCCAACGACATAACAGGTTGCTTGTCAATGCATTGCATACATCCCATATGACTGTTCAAAAGATAACTTATAAGTCTTTTCTACAGCCCCCAAAATTAACGTCTAATTAAACAGTGACACAAATAAAACTAGTTGGTTAAAGTTAAAATGTTCTGGGTTTAAGGTTAGGAAAAAATCACCACATGTTATAATTGTTTATTCACACTGGACTGCAATGCAAACTGCACAGGTATGAATGCAATCCATGAACAGCATAAACTCAAGACACACTTCAAAACTGCTTAGATTTACTGTCATCAGTAACTTATTGATTACCATTATGTAGAATTGTCAATCTAGTGCCCTCCTGGGTTCTTGCAAATATAAAAAATATTAATATGCAAGACAGATCTTTGTGGTATAAATTATGCCAGGGGGCATTTTTATTGATTGGACACATATGGACACAGCGTGGAAGAACTATTATAGAATTTTTTAGACACCGTTTGGGGAAATGAACCCAAGCCTGAATCAATTTCCAATGGCAATTTATAGATGCAAGTTCCACAGAAAGTAGGTAACACCGGCACAGAGGCAATTACCTAAAAAAGTCCTCTGAGCTTCTCGCAGAAGGTCAAGAGAAATAACAAGGATTGGTGGCGGATCAAACACAGAGAGGAACCTCAAAGACCTTAAAGGATTCTGAAGACACATGGAGCCCCTTTAATTAATTACAAGCACGCTTTTAACGGACACCTTGTCAGTACCTCAGCCGAAGACCAAACTCAGGGGTTTCTCAGGATACAAACACTTCTGATCATTTCTGTTGTCTCTGTTCATTTCCTTATCAAATCTATGTGCCCACAAAATGAGTCTCAAATTCACTCTTGGTAGAGAAGCTTTAGACTTCATATGTTTAGACAATCAGATTACAACCAGACTTTCTACATTAGTCTCCTACATGTTCACACTTTGAACTTTGTTTAGGAAGAGTCTCTTACTCCCCTATCAGGTTAATCTTGCCCTCCCGCCTCACTCTATCTCTCCGTCTATCAACTTGTCACTCACTTCAACCTCAAAATTTCTCCTCTATCCAGCCTCCTCTCTGTCTCTGCACCACATTCTGTGTGTGTGTGTCCCACTCTGTCACCTCCCATTTTGCTTTCCTGGCTCTCTCATCTTTTCCCTCTCTCTTCTCTCTCATGCTTTTTGCCATCTTCTTTTTCGTTCTGTTGTTCTGCTCTCCCTCCCTATCTCTGCCTTTCTCTCTCTTTGCTCCCTATGTCTTCATTCCCCAGGGGGTATTATCTCAGTCGGAGGCAAATCTGCCCAATTATAAACCTCATCTCCTCTCTCTCTCTCTCTCTCTCACACACACACACACAGGGTGCTCTCGCATCCACATACACAAACATCTCTTAGTTTCCCACATACACAGAAGCATAAGCACTAATACATTCACACAAGCACAAAAAAAAACACCTCCCTATTTTGCTCTTCTTCACTGTCTATTTCATTGCCTCTCAACATAAACTCACACAGACACACGCTCACACACACACACACATGCTCACACACCACCCTTCCCCTCCTCTCTGTCACACCTTAAAAAGCCAATTATACACGCTTCCTCCCTTCTCCTCCTCTCCGTTCTTTCTTGCCATCGCCACACTGATCTGGAGTGCACCACAACTAAAAGAAGGGAGGAAGAGGAGAGAAGAAAATAGAAGAGGAGCCCAAAATAGAGGATTGGGGAGGAGGCAAAATGGGAACAGAGGAAAGTATAGAGATGATTTGATGGGGCAAGATGTGAGCAGAGTAGATTGGAAAAGTGCATGGTATGAGAGGAGGAAAAGAAATGGAACAAGAGGAGAAGAACAAGTTAATACAGCAAAGGGCAACAGAGTAAGCAAAAGGAGAGGAGAGGAGAGGAGAGGAAAGGAGAGGAGAGGAGCGGAGAGATAGCGTTAATTGCCCAGCCAGTATTAGTGCTGGGTTGACAGTTTCTTGTTGAGAGGAGAGCTGATTGGATGATAATGATGCTGACTACTGAACTGCCGCACTGCTGACCCAATGGAAATAGAGGGAGAGAAAGGAGTGATAGATTTGGGGAGGCAGAGGGTGCAGAGGAGAAGATGGATAGACCAAATCAGACAGAAAATATTGAGTCAAATATGAGAAATGACGTAATATTGTATTTTCATTGCCGCCGAGCTTTGCAATTACAGCGTTGAACTTGGGGTACACACACACACACACACACACACGCGCTCAGTGTTTGTAAATGTTTTCTTTAAGTTACTTCAATCATTCTCTAATGATAGATTTAGGCTGCATCCCTGCCTGATTTATTACTTACTATTCCTTCCTTCTAATTAATGACAAGCTCTTAGGTGTTAAATGACCTAACTTCTGAAAAATGTCCTCACTCCAGGAGGACACACACCATAAATTTGAATTTGAATCACTTGCAATCGACAGGGAATTCTAACATTATTGAGTTGCACCATAGCTGAAGGACAGAAAACACTGCCTCTGCCTTATGCGCACACACACACACACACACACACACACACACACACACACACACACACACAGCAGAAGGACAGCAGATGTCAACAAGCAACATGACAATAACTAATGCTGGCAGAGTAGATACATGATACCGCCACACTGCGTCTTAGGGTCAATCAAGCCCTCAAGGACTCACTTAACTCACTCACTAATAAATAACACTGGTGTAACAGAAGTTAAATCTTCCCTCTTTACTTTACCTTGTTTGTATAGCGGATCCAGGTCCAAGACTGCATCTCCACTAAGATTACACAGCAAGGCGACTGCATTCTGGACCATCCCACTGGTAACATTACTACTGTTAGCCTAAACCAAGTCAGAGGAAGAGACAGGATAAGTAGGTTACAGGTCAGTGAACAACAGTCAAAGGTTTTCTATGCAGATTGTTTTTACATCTAATCACATCAAACTAAATGTTATAGCTTCAGATAGATAAAATAAATAGAAGTATTGTGTTGGACTAATACACAGTGAGCACAGTTTATCGATGAAGATACGTTTTGTTATAGACTTTCATCACACCTTAAACTCACAATAAAACAATAAACTAATCAGGACAACCCCTCATTGCATATAAGGTCAGTGATAAATGGTCTATACTTGTCTAGCGCCTTTCTAGTCTGTGTGGGCCACACAATACCAAAGCCAGCCAGCAAGGGAAAAAAACTGAATTGTATGTGCACTGATTGAATTTCTTTATCATCATTTTATCATAGAAAATAACAGTTCAGTAGCTCTTTTGAATACCAGTGAAGCTACTGTATAATAGTGATCCTAAAATAAGCTATTTTCAAATTTTCTTTTTGTTTTGTACACACAATTTTGTACTTTGTAACATATTTGACAGGTGTACATGTTCATTTCTATTGTCAGAAGCACAGCAATATTGGCAAATATTTCTCCACATGTGAGACACAGAGAAAATTGATATGTTTTATTTAAAAAGAATCATACAGTTAGACTACTGAGAAAACTGTTATTGGGGCACAACGTTGAGCAAAGGATTGAATAAATTCTGTCAATGACCGGCTGGTGTAGTTGTGACCTGTGCTAATGGATTGGCTTTCCTCTTAGTTCCTATGTCCTCAACCTCTGCCGTCTCCTCCTTAGCTTGCTCTTCCTTTACTCTCTTCCTTTCCTCTTTCTCCTACTCATAAAACCTTCCGTCCTTCCTCCTACAGTAATTCACTTCTCCTTCTCTCTCCTGCCCTCGTTTCACTATTTGATCGGCTCTGAGATACATCAGTTCTGCCCGCGGGGTTTGTGCGCATCAGTGTGATCTGAATATGGGCAGATAAGCTTGGCCGGTGCTCGTCATGTGCAGTAGCCTGAGGCTGAAGACAATGACATCAATTCACGCCTAGGACAACCTGCCTGTCAGTAACAACAAATGACAAAGTTAATTTATTTTGATCTTTATGGACTAATAAGCTGTGAAAGGACATTTGTGACAGCTTAAACCTGACGAAGAGTAACAGAGTAAAATTTATTTTAACAATGACTCACTGTGCTGCTCCATAACTCATAGAGTGTTCAACATGTCCTAGTGATATCTCTACAGAGCGTACAGTATGAGTGAGGCAGGGTTTGTAAAAAGTATTTGACCGTAACCCACTCTGATCAGCCTTCTGCCTCCTCAGGCACAGCAACCCACCAGTTAAAGAACCTAGCCAGCTTCCTGAAGTCGTTTCATGTCTGAAGCAGAACTACTTTATCACCTAGACAAATACAAGCAGGCGAGTTTCGCCCTGACAAGTGTGATCACCAGTGACGGGTGTAATCCATCCAGATCACAGTGTTTCAGGCAGCATAAATCAATCCAAACGTGAGCAATACAGACAGCACTAATGGATCCTGACATGACTGGTTGAGACAAGAGTAAACAATCAGGATAGGAGTTAATCAGGCTGATGGATAACAGTGTTAAACATTTTGCATGCATGCAGCTAGTCGGGGCCGGACAGGCAGCCACGCAGAACACTAATTATTTAATAAGTCTGAGTGTGTGTGTGTGTGTAAGTGTTTCGGTTTGCTGAAAACACACTGTACTGTATGTGTTTGTGTGTTCATTAGTGTTTGTGCGTCTGCATAAAGGGTCAGGTGAAGTAAACTGTTTACTGGAAACATTGTTTTGGTTCGCTGATAACAGACAAGTGCCGTGCATTTGTGTGGGATCTTAATAGAGTCCACGTTCTCACTCTATTAACTCTATATTGCTAACCTGCCAGTCAATTACACAAGCCTTCTAATAGGTCAACACCACTCGGACGAATTTACATAAATACATCTATAAGGGTTAGATGGAGCGAGTGAGAGAGGAGAGAGAAGGAAGGATACAGAATATAACTGAGCTGTAATAAAAAGCAGAAGTGCCATAAAATAATACAGATTGTTTGGGTTGGATTAGCTGACTGTCAGATTTTTTAACAGGCTGACTGATTCATAGACTGGAGTGAATGAGCAAGTGTTTTGCTGATTGGCTGAATAATAATTGATTAAGTGAGATTGATTTCTTACCATAATGAGTTGAAAGACGGATGGTAGGATCCTACTATGTTTGATCAACCTGAAAAGGAAAGAGAAAAAGACATATTGGAGCAGAGGTAGAAAGTAGAGGATGAGAAATTAATTTAATTTAGAGGCACTTCACTGCACTGTTCACACACACATACACACACACACACACATGCACACACACACACACACACTGGGCTGTTTCATCTTCATTAAGGTTGGAGTTCCGCTACGACGACTCCTGTCTGGTACCAGTGGAATTGGGGAAAGAAGAGAGACGAAAGGAGGAGACGCGATGAGAGCGGATGAAGTGAGATGAGGTGAGAGAGGAGAAGGAAGGAAACGGGAAGAGGAGATGAGAGTTAAGGAGAAGATTACATTTGGCGAAGAGGAAAAAGGAATGGGAAAAGATTAGAGGAGAGGGGAGAAGCTTTGGGCAGAGAAGGCGTGAAAACAAAAGAGTCATGTGTGTGAATCCACATAGGAAAAACTAGAAGAAAAGCCAAGAGTAGAAGAGAGAGGGAGAGAGAGAGGGACGGATGTCTACATTAGCAATGACATTCCGTCTACTTACTGATTAAGGTTTCTTTGATTTCCAACCAATTACTGTGTGGTTGGAGTGTCAACACATATACACACACCTTGTGTATGTGTGTGTTTGTGTGCATTAGAAAGCAAAGAAGCATTCAGGCTGTAATGGGAACAAAGCCAGCTGAAGTCAGACTGTTGTTAATATGCTGAAGGCATCAAAGTCTGTCCAGTGATTTAAAAATCTGTCTTCTTTTTAAATAAGATTTATAGCTTGTCTGGCAGACCACTTATGGTAATCTTTATTTAAATAAGCTGATTTAACAGTGTCATTTTCTTTGGACTTTTCAACAGCAAATGTTACGTTCCACCTCTAACAGGGACCACACAATGAATGGTGTTGTATCAACTGGGAGGCTGTTTTCATTTAATAAAAGTTAAGATGTTCCAATTGAAATGCATCCAATGCAGGCAAAAGAGTAACACATTACCATCACAGAGTGTTAACAAGTAACTTTTCACATTCTCTTTTTACTGTTTAAATGTTTTGCTTTTACTGGTCAGTTGCCTACTTCATGTTCGATATGTGTGCTGAGATACGTTATTGTTTACACAGAAATGAATACTAGTTTCATTTTATCTTAATGTATACTGAGAAAATATTCCCCACACCATTACACCGACTTCTAGGCAAAACCATCAGCATCTGAAAAATAAACTACAATTAACTGGAGCAGGCAGCAGTTCCAGGCTTCACTGGTTCATGCACCTAATATTTCTATGTAACCAACATGCTCCAACATTGCAGTTGTTACATTTAACCATTTTTGTATACTCTGCCTGCTACTGCTACCTTGATTGAGTCTTTCTATTCTTGCCTGACATCAGATTAATTAAGATATTTTGACCCATGCCGTAAACTGTAGGTGTAATATCAGAGGTTGGTCAGGCGCTAGTGAGGTCTTTGAGGTACTGCTGAGCATAAATATTGACAAGATCCACCATTATAGACATCAGTATCACTCAACCTTGCACTGATACGCCACACTAGATGTGACAGCGCAGCATGTGCCCTAATTAAATCAAAAGTTTTGTAATAATTGTTAGGTGTAGTGTCAGGCGTTGCTCGATAGTGCAGCACACCTGACCATTATAGCTTGTATGACCGTAAGTGCAAGTTAGGCAGTCAGATACGTCTTTGAGATACTGGTGCCGATGAATATTGATATTACGACCCCTTATAATAGGCGTTTTATGAAGGTGCAAATGTGTGTGTGTGTGTGTGTGTGTGTGTGTGTGTGTGTGTGTGTCTGTGTTTGTAGATGTGATGGATGGCCTCCCATTAGGTAGGTGACAGGCTGAGAGATGAGAGGACGGGCCAGGCCAGCACGACATGAAAACTGGACTACCTTTAAACTACCAGCCATACATCAATAAACAGTGCACAAGACCAGACAAACAGACCGCCTATGACAGAACAAACAGATGAGACAACTCTTACAGCATTAGTCATACATCATCATTATTAGCTTTATAATGGAGCATTTAACATCACATTATGGCCAACCACTAAGATAGATTAACCTCTGCCTGACCAGTCATGTAATTCGGCTGTCAGCTACACTTGTAGCACTAAAGCTTAATCTCAGATGATTCTGAAAGGGCATCGTGGACCTTGTTATTTCAAGTGAAACGATAATAAACACCAAAGATAAAGTCAGGAGGTTATATCTTAGCATTTGGAAGTTTTAGTCAAATATCTACTGTGTATCACAAGACACTGGAAAGTTCTTCCCTAGAGGATGGTCCAATTATTCATAATTGACACACCTTAATGAGTTTTTGTATCATCTAAAGAATATTTTAAAATATTAAAATATTTTTTCATGCATTAATTCACACCAGAGAGCAGCCCAGTAAAACAGACTGTTACATGCAATTACAGACTTCTAGCGTGTGAAAACGACCATCTTGGTGTTGTTAACACCTAATGATGCCACTTTTCTCTGGCTGTGAGAGACTTAGGAGTCCAAATGATAATTTGATGATGTAATCGTTTGCAAGGTTGAGTCTATGTCAAGCTATTAACTAATGAAAAGAAGAATTATGAGTTGTTTAAGATGGAGATTCATCTACAGTCACAATACAACAGCCAACACAGTTAAACTAAGAGAAAATACTACTTGGTTGATAAGCATGGAATGTGTTGAGGGGTGAGGCCACATCTACACACATTTGGCAGACAGACATACCTATAAGGACATAGAAACAAGAAACATAGTTGGGCACACATGTAACCACACAGCTTAAGGTTCTTTGAGGAAAGGTCATAGTAAATGTAGTTGTTTGAAGGTGTGTCTGGGCTGTGATAATGCAGAGAGAAACAGCAGGCTGCCTACCCAACGTTAATGTCCCCAATTTACCATCTAATTACCGCTCGGCTGGCTTCATAGCCACACTTATCTAACCAAGACCCAGGCAATTTAATTTCTGATTGTATAACCGCAGTGATGGAGGGAGAGTTGTGGAGAGAGGGCACAGAGAAAGAGAGAAATGTGGACTAATGTTAATAAATTAGAGATGGTGTAAGAAAGAGAACGAGGGAGACAGAGAATTTTTTTTAAATATTGTTAATAATGTCAGAAGAAAAAGAGTGAGAGAAAAAAACAGAGATGTAGAGAGAAGAGTGCTGACACCAATTTGAAAAGTTCACGTCACTCTACTTGTTTCAAGGAAAGAAGGGGATGAGGAGAGGTGGAGGAAAAGAAGGATGGGGACGAGAGTGGGTAATATTACTGATAAGAGAAGTAGGGGCGTATTCAGCTATGAGGGTGAACTCTGGGAGGATGGGAGGGACAGATGGATGGAGATGGAAGGAGAATGGGATACTAGTGATAAGAGGTTATTATTGCTGAAGTAGATTAACATACGAGAATGGAAGCAGGAAAAAAAATGGAAGGACAAACACCAGGTTAACAGTCATGGCTGTTGTAAATTATAGTATTCAAAGATGAGAGAACTTTGGATAAGCTACAATATTTGACCACAAGGCATTTCCATGTCTTTGACCACTTTGCGATCCCCAAATACTGATGACTGTATTTGTAAGATTAGGTGACGAAAAGGTAGCTTGCCGTGAATACTGTCATCCCTCACCCTTTGTCAACATTTTCTCTTCTTCATCGTGTTGCACTTCCCCACTCCATCTAACTCAATCTGCCTGCCTATCTCTTTCCTACTTCCTCCTTGTATCCTTCCTTCCACCCCTCAATCCACTGCTTGCCTTTCCCATTTTCTCTCTTTCTGCCTCCTCTTTTTTCACACTCACTTTCTGTCTCTGTCAAAAGTTGAAAAAAGGAGACAGATGACCAGAGAATCAAGACTTACTGACAGCTGCTGTCAGAACACATCTATCAAACACACATACATAAGCGCACACGCGCACACACACACACACACAGATGAGTCATCTCATATTCAGCCTAGGGATCAGCAGATTCTCTGTGCAACCAAACCTGGAAACACATCATTACCTCTTTTTATTTTTTGGTGTCAGGTGACTGCTTCCTCAAGACATGTTTTTAAGTTCCTGAACAGCGAATTACTTCAACATTATGCAGTTGTGAATTTTACTTTAACTGCAGCAATAATTTTGTCCCAGTGTCGTATATTTGAAGAGTGTGCAGTACAATTTTTAACAAAGCTCCTCAGCAGTAGCTAGTGTGCCAAGATACATCAGCACAATATGTCAAGTCTTTACACATCTTAGCTGATACAGCACCTTATGCCTGTCACTAAACTGATTACTGATGTAGAAAACACTGGTGTTACGTGGGGTGAAAAAGGTCTTGAATGTAGATTACCAGCAGTGATGCAGCTGTGCTGATGTTGCTATTAGAGTGTGCATCAGCTATATAACTAAATAAACAATATTTTGTGTGTATCTGTATGTACTGTAGTAGGTAATTAAATCACTGCTAATAGTAAGAGAGTGTGTGTGTGTGTGTGTGTGTGTGTGTGTGTGTGCGCGTGTGTGAGAGAGTGTTTGCATGATATCCATGTGTGTGCGTTGTATTGAATAAGAAACAGTTATTCACAGTGCTGAACTGGGAATGACTGTCCTTGGCATTAAAACATTATATATAGAGCGCCTAAAATGTGACTGTGTGGATTTGTGTGGGTGCCTGATAAGACTTCAAAATACTTTAATACGACCAAAACGTGATCTTGAATAAAACCGAATATTGGAGTCAAAAATATTTCCAGTTAAACGTACTGTCCACATAAAACTTCAGTTACTATAAGAAAATAGAATGTATGTTAAGAAGTGGGTCTCTGTAATCTTTAGTGTACTTTATTATATATGATACTTGAGATGGTACTGTAAGGTACAATAAGGTCACATTTTGGTATTATGATGCCTCAACAGTGTTTTGAGTATCTGTGTGTACAACACCTGCAGATCTGCATGCTGTGTTCAGTCATCGATACCAGTAGTTTGAGGGCGTAGAGTGGGATAGGTTCTGCTGCTCGAAGAAGAGTCTCATACCTAGACACAAACATGCATGAGTACCACATTTAGCTTTCGTAGCGTTAATAATTTATGTACTGTTCTGATCATTAGTAACAGAGAGTAAACTGGAACAGATCTGGAGAGAGGGGTGGAGAAGAGGGGGAGGGGAGAACTAGACTTTTAATAGAGAAGGAAAAAAAGGGAAATTTTGGAAACAGAGCAGAGGAGAGAACGTGAGGCGAAAAGGGGGGAGAATGAGGTGAGATGTGAAGTAACAAATGAGGCAACCATGAGAAAGAAGATCATTTTTAAAAAATGGAGCTACAAAATAATATGGTAAAGGAGGAGGCTGTATAGATCCACATAGAGAATGTGAAAAAAAAACACACCACAAATGTCAACATCTATTTTGTGATTTTGTTACTTTGTCATGATGTGAACTTCTGCAAACTGCAATTGTCTCTCTCTTCTCTCCACAGATTGTTATGATCATTTGATGCCAACACTCATAAAGCCAGATGCTTATGAGTTAGCCGTGTCTGGAGCCAAGACACAAAATACTCATTTATATATATATATATTCCATTGCTAAATGCATCTATAAATCATTGCCACGTTACTAGTATCCATAAATAGATTTTACATGGCAAAAATGAGTTAATCATCATAGAATTGATGATGGTTGGATAGCTCTGACTTTATTTCAAGGATTACTTCCTCTAAAGCTCAGATCTGACATTATCACCTGCTGTCAATGAGCTACAATTATTTTTGACCTTGCAGCTGTTTAGACTTGAATATTGTGTCTGTACAGCTGTTATTTACCAAAAGAGTGGGTGCATAAGCAAGGACTCAATTTGACTTCATGGAACATTGCTGTTTGTCAAAGGGGGTTAAGAGGAAATGTTGCTTTAATATTGACAAGTAATCAGTAACAAAATAGCTTTGGCAACCAAAACACCGGGAAGGAATCATTCTGATGATGGTCTCATTTACACTAAAATATAATAAAATTAGGTTGTTGTATTGATGTCAAAAATACTACTCATAGAGCATTTACCTCTAATCTGTTTCCAAACAAAACTAGACACACTGTCGGGCCAATACTTAGAAAGAATTAGACCAACCTTGGAAGCAGAGATTCGGTGATGAGAGCTAAGATTTGACTACAGGAGCTTCCATCGCCGCTTCCATCTGCTGGACTTCCTCCTTCCTCTCTTCTCTTTTTCTTTTCCTCTGTCTCATCATCTTCCTCAGTTACATCACTCTCCTGGACCAGCAGGACAAGACTGAGTTCGGACAGCACCCTCAAAACAAACACAGACCACTCCACTGGAACGCACACACAGAGAAAGAGGGAACATATTACAATAGATACAAGTGTTTAGAATACTGTATGTGTGTGTCAGTAGTAGCTTTCAAGCTTACACATATTGGCTGAGAGACTTTTTCTTAGTTGCATTTTATTTTTCCAAGTGGTCCATAATACGTATGTGGCATCATATGACCATTACGTTACTTGAAAATTGTTGATTTAGAGGCAACACTAACGCCAAAATGTGAGATTCAACTTTAGGATGTTGCTGCAGCCGAGGGAAGACCAGTTTGGTTTCTGAACATTACTGTATTTTTATCAAATAATTTCTTTCTACGACTATTAAAGTTTACATAGGGTTAGGGTTTACAAGTAATATAAAGTAAGATGGTATAATATTACACGACATATCATTACAGTAGTACAAATAAATAGATAGTAGAATATCTACACACTTACAAAAAACAGAGGTGGATTAAGAGGAGGACTCAAGGTCACAAGCTCTTTTGGAACAACACAGCATGACATGATAACAAGTAACAAGGAAAATAAAGTATTAACGGCCCAAACAAAACGAGGATGTCATTTTACCCTGAGAAACTGGCTCCACAAAACATACTGCTAGTTATGCTGTAATAATTCACTGAGAGTCCAAAACCAAAACATAGCAGTGGAAAATTACAATGACACTGTTCACTGGATACTGCAGTTTATTAATGAAAAGATTTTTATGACCTTAAACATTCAAGGTTTGGTTCTCTCCCTCACCATCTCTCCTCTTCTTAGCCATCTCTTTTCTCTACAATTCTTTCTTCATCAATCTATTATTTCTCTTACTAATATGCATCTATCTATCTTTCTACTTCTATGGCTGTTTGTACAATATCTATTTCTTTTAAGAATAAATTTATTTTTTTGGAATTGATAAAGGATAAAAGATAAAAGGCTACAAAGGTCCCCCGCTGGAGTCCAACCGCGGATGTGCTTTAACCATTCGGCTATCAGGACACCCCTATCTTTCTAAACCTTTGCTTCGACTCTTTCCTATTTGCAATTTCATCTGTTCCTTTTTCTTCCTCACTCCCTCCTCCAGCACTCTGACATTTACTTCTATTTCCACATCTCTTCTGTCTCATTCCCTCTTCCCTCTCTCAACAATGACCCACCATCGCTCTTACCATTTCTGCTAAAAGCCAGTGTTGTCAGAGGAGGCAGAATGGTGTCCACAACCTTCAAGAGACAAAAACAAATCTTTACACATCTCACTGTATTGATCCTTGACCAGGATACTCTAAGATCTTTAAAATCTGGAGGAATCAATTAGCATGGTATTATTTAAGCTCATCTGCAGATAATGTCTCAGTGCCACGGAAAACAACCCAGGTCAAAACAGACAGAAATTTTGTAGCAGTAGACAATTATCTTTATCTAGAAAATGTACCAGCAAAACTACTGCCAATAGGCTGAATGCTTTTATATGTAAAACTCATAGTCAAACTCACTGTTGAACTTAAACAGTATACATATTATCAATAGCTCAATTTGGAGCAGTGTTCTCTCATTTGAGGGTAAAAAAGTATATCAATAAAAGCAATTTCAGCCTTTCCTCTCAAAAACTACTTAATATACAGCAAATGTGAAAACAGGATATATTTTTAAATTAAACAGAGTAGACAACACTGTACTATATTAATTCAGTGGGCACCAACCACACAGACCACTGTCACAGAGGATCAAATTACTATGGAAATGCACTGCTGAATGATCTCTTTGATCACACACACACACACACACACACACACACACACACACACACACACACACGTACTTCCACGACAGTCAAAGCCCTTATTTAGGCATGAATCTATATTGCATGAATTTGCATGATTACTAATATTACCATAGAAACAACACTAATGCTGAGTGAGTGTGTGTGTGAGGTCATTACATTGAAAGTCAGAGAAAGGAAACTACAAAGGATGTTGTCCACCACTTAATGGTGTGTGTATTAATATCACAACCATCAAAAGACTGGATAGAGCGTGTGCAGGGGAGAAAGCCTTGGTGCAATTTCTCTGAACTGGAAACTATGGGTGACACGTCCCCTCACTGTCTGAAATCCTTTCTTGTCTGCATTTTCAGTTTTTGCTCTCTTACCAAGGTACCCCCCTCCCTATTGTAGTTTTAACCTATCACTAACAGTAAAAATAGAAATATGCCAATTCATCTGTATTCTCACAGGACTAGAAACTATGAAATGTTGTATATACTTTTTATTTTACTTGCAAATCACAGGCAACATCTGCTCTTCTGATTCTGCTTTGGTTTCTTCTAGTAAACAAACTAACAAACCTCATGTGTACATTGTTGATTAGGCAGAGCACAAAACTACTTTTTTCTCCAACACACTCACTGTGCTGAAGCTACTTTACATCATTAATTCAACAACAAATAGGCTATTGTTAGCACACAGCTCCTGGATGCAGACAGTAGTCTAGTATAAAGATGCTCAATATATATGTTGGCCTTGTTGAAGACTGAAATGTTGTCACTTTAGCATACCCAGTTAAAAAATAGGATTTTTTTCTCTTTTTCGCAAAAAAAGAAATTCAAAAATTGTTAATCAACTTTTTTTAGTGATACTCTGTGTAGTGTATCAAAACTATGTGGTAATATTTCAGAGGAAATTGTTTTATACCTGTGTGTTAAATTTTTCCCCCCAAATTCCCAAATAAAATTTGGGACACTTAGTCTTTTTCTCTGAATTCCATAATATGCTTACATGATCCAAAAAGTAATGAACCAACTTTAGTAGATGAATGCACATTTAGAGCAATAACATCATGCTTAGTGTCAAATTTAAATTGTATTTTTTAGAGCAGTTAATTCAGATTTTAAATTTATGTGTAGCCTGTGTTTTAACTGGTTTTCCATATCACAATTCAATGACACAAATAAATTAACTTGGACACATTGAAAGCATCCTTATCACTACGTGGTAATGCTTACATAGCTAAAATGTTTAACTTTTTAAGATGACTAAAGAACAAATGTTTTACCATTGTGAAAGAGAAATGTAAAAAATAGGGTTGTGGAGGCAAAACCTACTGCAAACTTTACTTTGTGGTAAAGATTAAGAGATGTAAACTAACTCAAACATGACTCTGTGTCCTTGTCCAGCGGGCAATAAAAGGTAATCTGAGCTGGCTGGTGGTAATTAAAGTGTCTTCCTGTGTTATTGACTATCAGTAGCAGCGAGCCTCCTCTTTGCTCCTTTCCTCTATTCCTCATCTCTTTTCTTTTCTCTCCCTCCATCCTGTCTGCCTGCTGCTGCTCTCCGCTTCCATACGTCAATAGCCATTAAACACAATCTCATTGTCCCAATCCATGCACACACACGTACGCACACACAGAAACACATCTGATGAGGCTCTGTTGGTTCAATAGTTGATTAGTGTCTTGCTTAATATTGCACAAGTTGACCCTCTGTCGTCTGACCACTAATAGACTGGTTTGGCAGACTGGAAGACAACCACTGAATATAAAACCAGGGGCCATTAAATGAAATGGACAAAAACAGGAGATATTCATGGAAACACTTTAACATACACCTAACAATTTCTTATAGCCCTCACTTGTTCTCTGCAAGCTTTCTATCACAGTAAAGCAACTTATGTATTACTTGTGTTTTTCTAAATAAGCAAACAATTTTTAAAAGGTATATTAAAAATCTGACAGTTGCAGGAGTGTAACAGACTGATGACAGGATGTCTCCAAAGTCCCATCAGAGGTAATATACTGACATTTGTTGATCCCTATCCTATATTTCTTCACTAAATTCAGTCAGTCAGACAGACAGACAGACAGGTAATCAGTCAGACACTAAAACAAACAACACACACACAAAGATTCAGTCAGTGCTGTAAAAGGTAGACAGTGATTCGGACAGGAAGGCAATTGCATATTTGCGTGCTTGCATACTTACAACACCTTGATGTGGAATGGTGAGAGCATGGTGCTGACTCAGGACCTCCACAATGGATAGAGAGGTCCTAATCAATTCCTCACATTGTGCTGCACCTAATAAGGGATCAGATATTATTCAGCACTACTCACATAATCACTTCCTAGGTGTGCCTCCAAAATAAAAGCGTGACAACGTTTTTTGTAGCAATTCTTTATTAAATGCGAACAAAACAATTTCTATGTAAAACACACAGCCTCTCCTTGAGTTTATTGAGCACGTTTACTTTGCAGAGTTCTGGAGGACATTCAAAAGAGTCTCTGGCTTGCTTGACACACCTCTGAAAAAGCTGGCAGTAAACATGTGATTGGATTCCCCTGAATTTCTTCAGGGAAATGAAAATAAGCATCCATAGGTTTATGATGAGGGATCAAACGCCGGGACACGCACACACACTGCAGCACATGCTTTATTGTGAGCATGTGCAAAAGTGTCCTTATATTCAATTTGTTTAACAAGGGAGAAAAAAATATCCTCAGTTAATTGGAATCAATCTTACAACCTTACAAATGGCAGTGCCGCACAATACCGACTAAGCTAAACATCCACAAGGATTTCAAATAATTTGACTATGTTCTGGCCCGCCGTGTAACGGCTTGAAAAAAATTTCTATTCAACTTCTATTATGCAGTGCACTGTGGCTGGCCTTGCACTCTGCACCTTACCTTGCGCACAAGCATTTTAAATGCAGTTCCACATGTGTCTCTTCTAGGCTGTATGTATCTATCTCCTTATCTTTCACATATAAATATTTGTTGTTGTGTATAAGGGTGACTTGTAAATTAAAGTGCAGCCTTCACAGCTAAACTAAACAATGTTATTCAACTACAGAACGCTTCATGCATTACTTTTAGTTCTCACAGTGTAGATTCTTATTGAACATGTATAAACATTATAGTAGAGTAGAGAGTAAAGTAACTCACCCAAAGCACTGGCAAGATTTGTTTCATTGGACTCTATAGATGCGATATAGTTCTGAGAGAAAGAAAAAATAAAATAAAAATACTACAGCAATACTTGGTCAACATAGTTTAATGCACTGTAAACAGAGATGGTTCTTTGACGTGTACTTATCACTGTGCGTTGTTGTGTGTTTTGGGTCTTAGATTTCTCTCCTAAATGTTAAAGGACTGCAATGGGTATCAGTTCTGCTTTTTATGTTAGCTTAATTTTCTTAATTGCCTAAACTTGTTGGGATATCACCATGTCTTTAAACTTGTCAATTAAATTGAAATTCAAAATATCAGTGCAGCCCGTGCATCCTAGTGTCATTTTTCATTTTGTAAAACAATCACTCCAGATAAGGAACCCTTATCTAAATTTGAGTGTTGATAATACTTGACAACAAAACACTTACCAGAAGCAATCCAATTTGAGCTAGAAACTCTTCAGTTACAATTTGAGATCTAAAGACCTGTAAGACAGAGAGTCAGTCACATAGACAAACAAGAAAGGGGCGATGGGATAAAGAGAAAAGGAAGGGTTGTGTACACCACCTTCTGTGGCTTAAACTAAACTAAGTACATTACATTTCCTGTATTTTTTACCAAGCCCACACCCAGGCCACAGTTATAAAATTATATGGATAATTAAACCATTTACATGTTGAAGCAAAATTGGCAATACTGTGCAGAACAATGAGGATGGTTACAAGTAATTCATGAGAAAATCTCTGTGGATAACCTTGCAGGCAAAAGTTCTAGAACATTAAAATCAAACAATTTTTGTCCAAGTCACCTGTGATGAAAGGAGTTCCAGCACTACAGACATGGTTGGCAAAGTGTGTTTAAGCTGTCTGCTCTGAGCTGTAGATGGGTGTTTCCTCCCGATCACACCTCGTAAAGCACATAAGACTTCCTCTAGAGAGAGGAAAGAAGACAAGACAAGGGGACACAAGAGGAGACGAGAGTAGAAGGGTGCTGGGGTTACTTACTTAAATGTAAAAGCAGAGAAGACCACAAAACACTATCACAGTATTGCATTTAGCTAACCATTAAATATTTAAGAACATATTATATATATATGATATTAAATATATTATTTTTTATTCAACCACAGCTATCAAAAACATCCAAAAACATCAATGTTTTCCTATTAATGTGAAATTTCATGAATGTTTTCACAGAATCAAAAGTAAGCAAACTGAGATTCTCAAAATTATTTATGGATGAATAAAACAAGAAAAGGAGTATGTTGGGTTGCTCAATTGATTTGCACATTCATGTAAACATATGTTGTATCTGTCTGTACCCAGTATCAGTGGTGCAGTGCTACTCAGATTCACAATCAGTAAATCCAGACACTGAGACAGGTATCCTGATTGGCTGGGATTCTCTCTGAGGGGAGTTGCTTTGCGCAGATCTCTTTCCAGGTACATCACAAGTCTACGCAGAAAGACACACACATGCACGGCATGACACAAAATGTATGTGATCCATTAATATATTTTCACTGACTGCTTTTAGCGTTTCATCGTATTCTACTACTACACTCGTATCAACTTAATAACATGACATGCACCCATTAACAATATGATTCTAGTCAATTAGCTATAAAATGTAGAAATAATGCATAAAAAGAAAGGGCAGGGAGACTGGGCAAGAGAAAGACAGATAGACAATGAGTTTGAGACCTTTTTATTCTCGTCAGACTGCTTGTATTGAACAGTAATCAATAATATTCTATTCAGAAATTCAGAGCAGAGTGCACTGCTAATTGGTATTCATTACTAACATACAAACACACCCATATATGTGTGTACAAGCACACGTGAGCATAAAAAGCATGAATGCAGGCACATACTGAGAGATTCAGAGAAATCATATTGGTTAACAAATATTGATTCTAAGCTTTTAGATTGGCAATAGTTCTGGGGGAGTGGGGGATTACGAATTTAGTATTTTTCCTCATAATGTTGCATAAAAGATTAGAGAGAAGGTGGTATGCAACAAACTGAGCAGTGTGACGTATTTGTATGAGGTATGTATCAGGAGCCAAACTTGGGTCAGTCAGGCAACCAGCAGCAGGCAGCTCAAGTGGTCACACAAAAAGCTAGTTTTGCTTAAAGGTTCAGTGTGTAAGATTTAGGAGGATCTATTGACAGAAATGCAGTATAATATATATGACAGTCACCACAATCAGTGGTGTATAAAGACCTTACATAATGAACCGTTATGTTTTTATTACCTTAGAATGAGCCATTTCTATCTACATACACAGCGGGTCCACTTACATAAAAGTCACCATGTTGCGGCCATGTTGTTTCTACAGTAGCCCAAACGGATAAACTGCTCTACAGAGTGTTTCATCACTACGTTGAATACATATGAAGACGAAGGAAGATGAAATAGAAGAAGTAGCAGTAGCAGTAGAGTCGTCTGGTTTGTTAGAAGTAAGAACAAAAGAAAAATTAGGACAAATGGAGGACCACACGTATTATATTAAGCACAACTCAGGAGGGGTGAGTGGCGATTGAGTCGGTGGTTGCAATTTGCAACCCTCACTACTAGATGCAACTAAAACTAACATATTAAGTTTCCCAAATGCTAATTCCACAAGGCAAGTTCTCTTGTAGACTGTGATTAAATGTTTTGTTGTTTTGTGGGTGAATGTTTTAGTTACAACTACAGTTAGCATGCAGAGATTCGCTAAATGTCTGGAATGTTTTAAGGTGCCCATTAACCTTATTTGGAGGTAGTTGTGGTAGGAAGAAAGTATTTTTTTGTTTTGTTGCATTTTCAAAGTTTTTGCTTATTTTTTAAAAGTCGCCTAATATAGAAGTAAAAGTCCAATCTGTAATGTTTGCCTTAATGCTAAACAAGACTAAAAGGCTGTTTGCACTGGATTTGTGGAGTTTTCTGATCACAAGTGGATACCTCCAAATATTTCAGCTCACACATGGCATTAGAATGTGCCTCCACATTCGTCTTGAGTTACCACTTGTGATTGGATCTCAGGTTTCTGCTTTTTAATTTACTGTTTCAGACCACAAATGAGAAGGTCATAAAAACGATAAACGCCACAGGAGTGTTTCAGGTGGCTGGGCTTCACTGATTACTGCAAAAAATACAATTTAATAACTTCACTCTCTGACTTTAGTTAAAGTGGATAATATTTTATGGAAAAAACATTTTCTGTGTTTCACTCTGATGTCCTCTGGCTGCTCACAGTTTCCTGATGGACAGATAGCTTTAATTGTTGCTAAAGTAACCACTAACTGCGGTTAACTGTAGCTGCCATGAGCTAGTTTGCCATGCAGCTAGTGGTCCTATATACCGAGAGGACATAAGACATTGTGTTTAGTTTGTACTCCATCCATGAGAATCCATTTTGCGTGTTGTTTTTGTGCTTTTTCTTATTCTTTCACACTTTACTTCTGCTTATGCAAAGAACATCAGTTAAGTCCTTCAATGTGGCCCACACATAGAGATCGATCGCTCAGACCATATTCTTTTAGCAGTGTGTACGCAAATGTGGTCTGAGCAATAGATCTCAACGCATCTTGGGTGCATTCACACCTGTGCATAGAGCTGCCAACTCGTGATTGGTTCACCCAAGACGCATGTTAATGCCAGGTGGAAACAGGGCCTATGAGTCTACAGCAGTGATCATCAACTGGCAACTCGTGGGCCTCATCCGGCCTGCAGAATGGCCACTGACTGAAGTATTACAATAATGCATTTATATATTTGCACTATTACAAACTGGGTGTTGGTGATGAAAAAATGCTGCATTAAGTTACTTCAAACTGAACATTTCCTACTACTGCAGCTTCACATTAAAGCTGACTTTCATAGTCACAGTAAACGCAATGTGTTTGTCAGGAAGCTCAGCACTGAAAAACACATTGCATATCAGTCATCAAAAATGCATCTACAAAACAAGACAATGGTCGACATTTTTTTTTACGGCAGATCAGTTTGAAATATTGCAGGGAGTAATGGAATAAGAAGGAGCAGCCACAGTAAGCTGTTAGATGAAGAGCTGCAGGCGACAGGCTCCACACCTCCAACTTCTCAGTGAGGTAACTGACTCCTTTCACTGCGCCCTGCTGTTTGCAAACTCATGCAGTATGCAGCATAAAATCTGATCACGTTTGCTTACAGAATGATGGAAAAAGGCCAATTATGGCCTGACTTATTTATTAAAATTAAAGTAATTTGTTTTGCAGCCCCCAGGATTCTGTGACCTATAGTATTAAACCACATTTGTTGTTACCTCCAGTAACAGGATTCGCATGCACAATAACAATAAAATATCATACATTTTGTGAAAGTGAAATTATGAAACAATAATAAGGTTAATTCAGCCTAATGTTTTTCAAATACAAAATGCTTATCAAATCTGTGTACTACACATGTATGTTGTCAAAGCAGTTATTTATCTGCATAAAAGATTAGAGAGAAGGTGGTATGCAACAAACTGAGCAGTGTGACTGATTTAAACTTGGCAGAGGTATGTATCAGGAGCCAAACTTGGGTCAGTCAGGCAACCAGCAGCAGGCAGCTCAAGTGGTCACACAAAAAGCTAGTTTTGCTTAAAGGTTCAGTGTGTAAGATTTAGGAGGATCTATTGACAGAAATGCAATATAATATATATGGCTATGTTTTCAGTGGTGTATAAAGACCTTACATAATGAACCGTTATGTTTTTATTACCTTAGAATGAGCCATTTCTATCTACATACACAGCGGGTCCACTTACATAAAAGTCACCATGTTGCGGCCATGTTGTTTCTACAGTAGCCCAAACGGATAAACTGCTCTACAGAGTGTTTCATCACTACGTTGAATACATATGAAGACAAAGGAAGATGAAATAGAAGAAGTAGCAGTAGTAGTAGGGTCGTCTGGTTTGTTAGAAGTAAGAACAAAAGAAAAATTAGGACAAATAGAGGACCACACGTATTATTAAGCACAACTCAGGAGGGGTGAGTGGCGATTGAGTTGTTGGTTGCAATTCGCAACCCTCACTACTAGATGCAACTAAAACTAACATATCAAGTTTCCCAAATGCTAATTCCACAACGCAAGTTCTCCTGTAGACTGTGGGACATTAATGCCATTAACCTTATTTGGAGGAAGTAGTTTTTTGTTTTGTTGCATTTTCAAAGTTTTTGCTTATTTTTTAAAATTCACCTAATATAAAATGTAAATGTAAAAGTCCAATCTGTAATGTTTAATATTTATCTGTCTGTATCTCTGAACAGCTCTATGGCTGGTTCTTGTCTGTCTGCCTATTTGTCTCCCTGCTAGACTTCTGCCTGTGTGTTCCTCTGTTAGTCGCGCAGCCATTTTTCCCTGATTGCTAAATAAAGACAGACAAACTTGCCACCTCTCTTTCAGTCACTGTGGGAGACTCACAAAGTACTCACACACAACTGACCTACAAGTGGCCCTCGGTGTGTGTGTGTGTGTGTGTGTGTTGAAAGCCATCACACTCCACTCCCAATGGCGATCTTGACACTTCCTCAGTGAGGCCTGTGCAATTTTATCTCATATAGACAAAAACACACACACGAGCCACCAAGGAGCTAATTAAACACAACGTGCTTGTGTGAGAGCAGGACTGAGGGAAAGACGTGTGTCTGTGTGTGTGGTTGAATCATGCAGAGTGCTCAGCGGGAGAGAGACAGGCAGGTCAAATCTGACAGCTCTAACATAGTGAGCAGAGGGAGGACAAGCGTGTGTGTGTGTGTGTGTGTGTGTGTGTGTGTTTGAGAAAGACAGACAGGCAGAGAAAAAAAGCAGAGAAACTGCAAAAGAGAAACACCTTAATTATGTTTTGGTGCCACGTGTAAACGGAGGTTGTGTTCAGGCTTTCAGGAATTTAGTTCAAATCTAAATATTAGAAAGCAAAGCCATTAAGGGAAGAGATCCAGCTTACGATGCCCTGGCATTAGACTGTAATGTCAGAGTCCAATCGAAACGCTGCTTCATTTCCATTTCCTGCTGCGGACTATTTATTTCCATGTCGTAGGACATGACATACAATGATCTGTGTACAGTATCTATTCTTTATGGTTTAGTGTTCAGGTAGCTAATGTAGAAGAAAGTAATGTAGACAGTCATATTAGTATGACCATATAGTTTGTAATGCTACTGCCAATTAAAAATTTGGAAACAAAATTTTCCCTAAAGTTACTTAATTTTTGTTTTCCAAATATATTCCTGTATTTGTGCACAACCAATTAGTTTAATTTATTTATTTTATTACACAAAAACATCTTCAAGGACACTTTTTAAGTATAAACCCAATACATACTGAAAAGCCAATTAGTGCCATTATGAATGATGGAATAGGCACACTTATACAGCTTATAATTTAAACGTGTGTATAATAGTGTAAATTAAAAAAATTAAACATTTAATGACTTGTATTACTT